CAGTGGCATACACATGACCCATGGGGCCCCGGTGCGAAAATTGATCCGTGCCCCCCCCCCCCAGCGCGCGGCGGTGGGCACCTGGTCCCAGGGGTTACAGGGCTGCGACCGCGGTATGTACGCCAGTGCATGCAGATGCACACACACTTAAAGGTCCACTACAGACACCCAGATCACATCAGCTCAATGAAGTTGTCTGGGTGTCAGGTCCCTCTAGTTTTAACCCTGCAGCTGAAAACATAGCAGTTTCAGAGAACTGAGGGTTAATCCAGCCTCTCACTGACAGCCGCTAGAGGAGCACACTGAATGTCCATAGGAAAGCATTAAGTAATGCTTTCCTATGGGCGGTTTGAATGCGTGTGCGGTCGCATTCGGAGCTGAGGGATCCCCAGCGCCAAGGGAGTCCGGCGCTGGAGAAAGGTAAGTGCTGAAGACACACACTTTCACTTACAGACGCATACACACTAGCTAACAGACACACACATTTACTGACAGACACACTCAGCGACAGACATACACACTCACTTACAAAACATACACTCTCATTGACAAACTCACTAACAGACATCAAACAGACTCACTAACACACACACACACACACACACACACACACACACACACACACACTCAGTAAGACACACACAGTAACACACTCACTGACACTCACTAGCAGACACACACTAACACTCACTCTAACACTCACTCTCACTCTAACACACACACACTAACACTCACACACACTAACACTAACACACTAACACTCACTCTAACTCACACTCACACGTTTTTTGTTTTTTTTTAAATTTAATCCCCCCAGCCTCCTTACCTTTTGGAGTGCTGGGGGGATTCCCTGGGGTCCAGTGGTGCTGCCGGGCTGGCTGGCCGGCTGGCTGGCCGGCACGCGAGGGAGCACTCAGTGCTTCCTCTTCAGCTCCCTCGCGCGCCCGCCTGCCCGACCGGCCACCCGCCTTCCGGGTGTCAGCAGGGCCAGCCTCGAGGGGGCCCTGGGGTGGCCGCCTCCTGGGCCCCTCAGGGGAAGAGGCTGGCCCTGTGGCTACATACCGGGTCGCAGGGGCGGCCGGGCCCCCTGGTGGGCCAGGCCCGGTCGCAGCCGCGACCCCTGCAACCCTCGTATGTACGCCACTGCTCACACCACCTGCTGTACTGTGGGAGCTGTAGTCTACCAGCATGCACTATGGCACCATTAACTTTACAGAGTACCGTAGCACAGGGGAGGCATGAGAATCGGAAGTGTATTCTCCTTGAAAGTTACCGCTAAAATATCAAAGTTGTTCTTTTTGAGGTTTAAAATAATGATTTCTTAATTTGGGTCTAAAAAAAATAGGGGTCGTCTTATACATGGGGGCGTCCTATACACAGAAAAATATGGCAATTCTTAGCATGGAAGGTCTTGATCATTAAGGTTTAGCAGCTATACTATACTTAGAGTAGGTCATTCCATTTTGAAACCTGATCTTTACAGAATAATGTTATCACAATATAGACTGCCATTGGTATTAAGGGGTTAAAGGAGTTTTTGGAAATCTAGTTTACAGATATGCAAACTACTTCTGTATATAATGCAGAAATTACAATAATGTTAAAACTAGATGCAGCTAAGATTTAAAATACTGTGTAAGTGATTTATCATCCCCTGACACGCAGGGTGATTCAACATTAAAATATCTGACTCATCAGACATGAAGGTAGAAACACTGTGTGCGTCTGCAGTATTCGTCTTTTTCACATTTACAGCTATTTTCTAAATAGCAGCTCAGAAAGGATACAATGCAACCATTGGTGTCGCTAAAATAAGTGCTTTTTCTACCGTAAAAAGACTTTTCTAATTTTGTATATTATCAACTTTTTCACCAATTTGTCACATTTAAAGCTATTGTCATGCAAAATATAGCTGAGCCTTGTTTTTAACGACTCTTAAACTCATTGGGAATTTTTATAGACTTCTAGTGCATAAGCAACCCCATGTATCCAGCCCAATTAAGTAAGTTGAACTTTGGCTGACCCAATGCATCAATGAGTCTATAAACCAAGAGAACCCAGTTAATGTTATAATATCATAACTAAAAAAAGAAGCCCATGAGGCTTTATATTTATACAATGACTGGAATAATATACCCACTCCAAAGATTTAAACAAAGAAAGATGCCATCCAAACATTGGCATTTCTACTGTCATGAATGTGTAAAGGTCTTCCTTCCCACTCTAAAAAAAAAAAAATCATCATAAACCATTTCATAAATCTATATGGGGAATAAGACCAATAATTAAGAATGGACTTAATTGAGAATAGCTTTATGCTTTTCATTCAAGATACCAAGTTGCACTCCATGAAGCTCGTTTTCAGAGTGATTGTTCATCTCGACAGGGAGTTTGCCAAAGACCATAAATGTTCCTTTCCCAGATTGTGACGATAGTGACGTTCCTCAAGATGAGACCGTCTGAAAAATAGTATTGGTATATAGAAACAAACTTACCCTCGGTGTTAGTTGTTTAATAAATGCACTTATCTTTTACAATTTCGTAATGTACAGCTTTCCCCAGGGGGTATCCCAGCAAATGTCACAGTGAGTGCATTTCAAGCTTAACTATATTACACTATGCTATCTTAATTTCTTTTGTAGATCAATCAGCTGTATTCCCATTGTATATTTTGAAAAATAGTATTGTTTATATTGCTGATGCTTGCAAGGACAGGGGCCAGATGATATAGGTGGCAAATTTGACAGTTTCAAAAGAGAACGTGAAGGTGGTGGAAGCATAAATGGTTCGATATATTAGACACAGCTTCTGGCCCCATATTGTATGTCTACCCAGTTAGTGCTCTGATTCTTTCGCTGTGTACTGGACTGAAAAGAACATTTACTGTGGTCTGCATCTGCCAGAGGTGCAGTCTACAGATTTCTTTCACTGGACCAATAGCATCAATTGTTAACTTCCATTGGACCACCAGGGATCATAGTCCCTACCTGCAGAATTTCTAAATGTGTGTGGTTAGGCTGAAGTCACAACACACTCTGCCACCACATATACATATCCCGGACCACCCTCACATGATCTCCCTGACAAGCCGCACCCAAGCGACATGAACATGAAGCCCAGAGAACACAAGTGAGGCCTACAAAATAGCAAAAGGCACACATGCCGCAGCCCTAAGCAATGCCTGGAGGGACACAGAGCTCCGACTAAATGGCATATTCAGCTCCTTCTGGGAGAAGCTGGAGGCTCTCACGCGACATCCGGAACCAGAATCCCCGTTCAAAGGCATACCACGGAGACTTTTCTCTCCTGCACTCCCGGTCCACAGGGAACGAAGCTCAGACCATCGCACCGGGAAGCCGACGAGATCCTGCAGGGCATAGGCTGAAGCACTAGACCATGGGGCAGCCGCACAGACATCGGGATCAAAGCCTTCAACAAGGATGCACACAACACACAATTTTAAAGGTCCATCATACACACCTCCACAGACCCATAGCTGTGTATAGGCATACCCCACGCACCTACACATACTGGGCCTCAGTAACCAGTCGAATACACCTATAACTCTGGGGATCAGGGGGGACAATACTCCTATGTTTAACGAAGAAACACTAACACAAGATAACACCTACCTACATGCTTACCTCTAGTGCCAGTTAGTGCAACAGGAGCTCACTCATGTTACAGATACTGACCTGATGACACTTTGACCAATGTTTGTATATCTTAACACCTATTATAACATACAATTGTGCAAGTCATTCCTAATACCTAAGTTGTCAAGCATGATGTTCTGCCTGAGGATTGCCGTAGGGGTACCTCACGCATGTATGTAATAATCATATGCACTACAAAAATATAAAAATAAAAAAAAAATACAAATTTTGATAAAACAGATCTAAAGGAGTTAAAAAATAAATAAAACTAGAAATTAAACTATATTGAAAACTGAATTGCAAGCTATGACAAGCTGGGTTGGAGATTTGCTCCAAATCAGCACTTTTTGCTTATCATTTTGCAATCAGTTGTTACATCACTATAATTTTGTGTAACGTGAATAAAGCCCCATGGCAATTATTTTAAACACAATGTTGTTCAGGGCAATATCAAAGTAAGTTTCTGTTTTTAAGCAAACCGTAAATGAGCAAATGACGCTAACCTTGTCACCAGTTCCAGAGCATTCTTCTATACTAAGTAGAATTCACATGCAGACCAGACATGTCAATCCAAACACATTTTAGGGCACATCACATGGAAAATCAAATAATAAGCTCACCAGAACTGCAGAGAGTGAGAAACGAGAGGTGTCTTGTATTGGCAGAAAAATTATAGACAAAGAACCCAAGAAAGGAAAGCTTTCAAGCGGCTGTGTCACTTTCAGGGGTCTCTGCATATTTGTGAAGACCCTACGAATATGACTGCTCCGCTTGCATTTTGGTGGCCTGTGGGGTTCAATAGATGTACTTACCTGAACCTTTTCCTAATGGGTTCCACCATCTTCTTTTGCAAGGCCCTCTCCTGGTTTGAGAGTACAACACTGATGTCTATAGAAATTCTTGTGGGATCCTTCATAGAAAGAGCCTTTTCTTTTCAGCCGTCACTAGTGGTAGGTAGATCGGCCTTTTGTCAAGCTTTTGTAAAGCGTAGGAAAAAACAGAAGAGTCCCATATATATATATATATATATATATATATATATATATATATATACACATACATATATACAAATACATATATATATATATACATATATATATATATATATATATACATATATATATACATACATTATTACATTATATATATGTTGTTTTTTGCGAGGAGGGAGGGTGGAATGACAGACACTTTAAAGTGATTTTTTTTAACTGTTAAATGTTTTATTTTGGAAAACTTTAGGAAACAGTTTGACTATTTACAGCACTATAAACACTACAGAATGGTGTAGTGGTTATGGTGTTTGAAGTGTTCTTTAAGGTACACAATCATACACTGCTGATGGTGGTACAGCTTTCACATGCAATTTAATATATTTTAACAGAAGTCTCATTTCTACCAAAATAAAAACATGTAAACATTAGATTTCACAAAACAAATTTCTATACTGTATTAGAAAGAAAGAATATCAACGACAATTTGTTTCTTGTGACATGCTTTTATTCAATAAAATACCTACACTTTACCAAGAAATTAGCAATGACCATATCTTACAGCTTAGCATCTTAAAAAAACCCAGAACAAAACCATAATAAAAAGGTTGCATTGCTAAAACTCAAGTTGAAATTCAAGCATACAATGTTTCATCGGACAATCAATTTTAATCCATCTGGCTGCAGTGAAATAGCTCCATTTAGCTTTAAACAACCAAACAAAAAATAACTTTAACAGTCATGTTAAAAACACCATAAGTTAAATAAGAATAGTGTCATTGAAATGTCATTATATTATAGATTTTTTTTTAAATTATACATTTTGGCAATTAAAAACACAAAAGTGTTACAAACATCTTTAGTGCTGATTTAGCATGAAGCGTATTTAATATTCCACAACTATCCTCTAATGAAAAGAATAAAAATTATATTAAAAGTATGAAAGGTGAAAATGATTTGATTTGAGTTTTTCAGAAAAATCCAAAGTGGAATTTTTGTTTTCAGATTTCCATCCTGTGCCAGCTGTAAAAGGCACAGCTTTGGCACAATGTAAATGATCTACAACCCATGGTGCCATGGCGTACACTGGAAGGAATGACCAGTGCATGTGCTCTTAATGCACTAAAGTAATAATGCACACGTATTTAGTCATGAGACAATAGTAGTGGCTCCACTTAGAAGTGTTGCAATAGTTTTGTGTTTTATACTTTTACTTATCACCCCAGTAGAAACGTAGAATGTGATGGCAGATAAGAACCATTAGGCCCATCTACTTCACCCAATATTTTAAAATACTTTTAATTAGTCCCTGGCCTTATCTTAAGTAAATGCATCAATAGTAGGTATTGGGGTAAGGAAATGGTCACTCTAAAAAGTGTGTCAGTATCCCCTTAAACAGAAAGGGTACATTTAGTATCTATCCTGGGTCTCAATATAATAGCCCAACCCTAAAGTTTTTAATGACAAAGAGGAAAAGCACAGTTGACATTGCCAGGAACCAAAATGATGGATCTGTGATAAAGCAGATGGAGTACTAACCACTGAGTTACTTCACCAACTAAAAAATTATAGAATTTATCAGGATTATTTTTATTTGCAATAGAACAGTAAACATGTGTAGTTTTATTCTATTTCTCTTGCAATATTATATGGTTTAAGTGCAATAACTCACAAGTTACGCTGTACTTTTTTCTTTTTTTTTTTTAAAGAAAAGCACGAATCATATGCTTTACATTCAAGTTATTTTGAGATATATTTCTGCTGCTTAGAAATCATGAATAACGGAGCTGCGAGAAAGGATAAACCAGTTGTTTTTTTTTCTTACACAATTTAAAAGCCGTTAAAAAGGGTCCGCAATGGATTACTGTGTGAATTGCAACACAATATAAATTTATTTTGCGCATATACAATACCAGCAAAACTATTGTGTTAATTTCATGTTTTGCAGGTTTATTTTACAACCTACAAAACTCAACATAAGCCGTATTAAAGCAATGTTTAAAGGACCACTCTAGGCACCCAGACCACTTCAGCTTAATGAAGTGGTCTGGGTGCCAGGTCCTTCTTGCCGCGCGTGCCCATTCAGCCGACAGGGCAGATCGGAGGAGGAGAGGAGGCAGAGAGCTCCCCGCCCAGCGCTGGAAAAAGGTAAGTTTTTACCCCTTTCCCCCTTCAAGAGCCGGGCGGGAGGGGGACCCTGAGGGTGGGGGCACCCTCAGGGCACTATAGTGCCAGGAAAACGAGTATGTTTTCCTGGCACTATAGTGGTCCTTTAATGAATTACTGGTAAAGAAGGAAAGAGAAGACAATGCATTATAATGATTTCTATTAAATTCCAATGCAGTCAATAGGAGTCTTTGTTAAATCATCATAAAATACTCAAAAAAGTGACAGGTGCCGCTTTAATCTCAAAACATAATCTAGTAGAATTTGTATGGCATGATACTTTGGACACAATGTTCTTGGGCAACCTTCTGGAGTGTTCAGATTACGATCTTGCTGAACAATTAAGAAATGCCCAATTAACAAATCATTCAGGAATGGCATGATAGCTTCATGCATATCAGTATGGGTGGACAACATAAAGATGATCTCCAGTGTTCAACTGCTATTGTGTATGTTCATACATATAATATTTATGAAAAGAACTATACAATTAATTAATTTCTTCCATAATTCTGATGGTCTTCCCAGAATCAATTATATCATACCATGACAAACTCCCCAAGCAGCAAGGTTTGATTGGATTAGGATATATGACCTCTTAATATGCTCTAAGTATCACTCTGTGTACATCCTTCGTGAAGTTACTTACTAAAGAACATGATTTGATGTTCAGCTATACAGAAATTATCTCCATTTAAAAAAAAAAAAAAATGATCACAATGCAAGAATCAAGTGCAATGCAGACATTTTGTTTCAGCACAACCGACAAACTGACAACAGAAAACTCCTACCTTGAATTAGTAGGCTTCATTCACCTGTGTGTATTGCACACGCGCATACAAACTGTATAGACATCTATCATCTATATACACAGTAGATATACAATGCACTTTCAGATCTGATTTACATGCAAACAATGACACATTGTATAAAGAGGAAACTATCCTGTGCAGACATTCAACAGACCTTTTGCTTGCAAATTAATTTATATTGTATAAAACACATTGAAATGTAACATTTTATTCAGATTAAAAAACAAAACACTAAACTTAATATAAACCTTTCACCATACTCTACAAGTCATAAAATACAATTTCAAGCAGATTTGTATGCACTACCCCAGGTCATGTCAGGTAAGACAAGGGATTGTTTAAGAAATATTTTAAGCACCAAAATCACATCATCTTAATGTAGTGATTTTGGGGCATAGATGGTTAATCAGTGGCCTTGGAGATGAAAATAGTTCAGTTTCTCAGAAACTGCACTATTTACATTTTGCAATCCCCACAACCACCATGGCTGTCATTCAGACAGCTACTGGAGTTTTGGACTTTTGTCTGCATAGATGCACTGGATGCAAAGATTCGAACAGAGAAGCATTGGAATAGCGAAATGGGGAGATCGCCAAGAAAAAGCAGTATTTAAGCAATGCTCCACTATCTGAAACATGATTGGACAAAAGACATAAATCACGATGACTTTAGTGAGGAAGGATTTGGTTATAGTGAGGATTGTAGGGGTGCTAGAATAAAGAAACATTTCAAGGGCCAGTATTTTAATATATTAAAGGAACATATCTAACAAAAAAGACCCTCACCACAAAACAAAGCTGAATTTAGAATTTAAATTCAGAAGGAAAAAAATACTGTAAATACTGCAAACATTTTAGTGAAGTGGTTAATAAAAAATAACTAGTCAAAATGAAAAAACAATATATTTTTTAATAAGCAAGAAAAAAAGCCATTTAAACTAATTCCTAAAATCAAAATAAAATACGCAATAAAATAAACAATACTTATTATTTTATTAAATAATCTCAAAATTAGTGCTTGGCTGATAATAATTGGCTGATATTTCTCCAAGCTCCAGAATAGTGTGTATGTATATATATATATATATATATATATATATATATATATATATATAAAATGAAAAAAGAATTCTGGCCTTTTTGAGAAGTGGATGAAGGAGGGTTCTTGAAAACAGATTAATTTTTTTTTTTAATGAAAATCAGTAACACTAGTTTATGGGAAGGTACTTATTGCAGTTTATAAAAAAAAGTGCAATAATTAGCTGCAGGGTTAAGGGTGCTGGGACACTGTACCCAGACCACTTCAATGAGCTGAAGTGTTCTGGGTGCCTATAGGGTCCCTTTAACTATACCAAAATTAATGGCCACTATTACACAAAATTTGAAAATGAAAAAGGAACTGGCACAACTGAAATATGTGCAAAACCGGACAGTTTACCAAAAATTTGCATAAGATTGCGATTTTTGTTTTTTAAAATCTAGTGTTGTTTATATTTTAATTGACATTGAATGCTTGGCTATAAATTAACCTAATCCACATAGCGCTAGGAGCATGTTCAGCCCTATGGATGAATGCCTCAGCATGCACGAGCCTTTATATTTCCCTACATAATGCATACTAAAGGAAGCAGTTTTGTCGTGGGATGTTTTTTTTTTTACGTACAGCTTCTGTACTAATTCGGAAAATAGATATTTCTGCTTTCATTAATTTTTCACCAACTTTTTCTAATTGTTAATTTCCTCCATTCATTTTTTTCTGACCATCTTACACCTAGAGTATTCAGAAATGTTGTCCCAATGAGCACAGACTGGGATTAGGATTAAACAATAACAATAGGACTCAAACGATATAGGTGGTAGAACAATGTGTAACAGTATTTGGAAGTAGACCTCACACAGATGAGACACTGAAAGGTTGCTGTGCATATAACAACCAGGAACAATGCATTCATTCAACAGAATCGATAACATTTCCACAAATGCTGGTTTATGATACAGCCAGAATAATCTAATCGTAATATCACACAATGGCTCCAAAATGATGACCAGTTACTGTGCAAATGATGGGCTTCTCTGGTGGGACATGTATCACTGTGAGACAATGTCCGCTTTAGCTTTGAATGAGACCGTGTCCTCACTCTACAGGCTGAAAAAAAAGCAGGTAGATATGATTCCCCATATTTACTTGCTTCTCCTTCCTTATGCTTTTCATACCCACTACATGGGGGGGCACTGACCTAAACTATCAGTGTCCTATCCTTAGGAATGCTGGAAAAGTGCATTGGGTATGCATAACAGATTTACACATGTGCACTCGGAAGATCTCTTCACCTTGCAACCAACTTAGAAAGGGGAGAAGAGTACTCTGATCAATGTGAACGTGCAGAATTAGCTCTGGTGTCAAAATTCTCTCTCCTCTTGCTACTCAGTTGTACTCTGTTTCTATCATTAGTGGGCTAGTCTGAAACTAAGAAGGGTGGGAAGTTTATAAACATGTATTACATATTTTTCAAAGTTTTTTATTTTTTTTTCCTTTTGCTATACTTTGGTTTGTATATTTGTTCAAAAGTGTTGCTGGTTTAAAAAATAATTGTCAAGTAATGCATGTCCGTTTAAACTATGTGCAGTGACACATGATCTTCCTGCTCCATAATTTCTTCAAAATGTTTCTTGTTTTACTAACTTTTCATGACATAAGAATTGAAAGAAAGGATTTATGTCATTAAAATAAATTTAGTGTCTCTTTAAATTGATTGGGTCATAAAAGTTAATGGACTTTTTTTTTTTTTTTTACATACAATTACATTTGCATAAAAAAAACTCATACTTTATGGCACCTAATTTTTCTCTCATTATAAACTAAATTGGAAAAAAAACCACAGACATATATCAAAATTTTACAATACACTGTTTGAATTAATACTAGCAATCTCAATCTTGAACGTTAAAAGTCAAGAATTTAAACACACAGCCGATTTCCTTTCATCCTTATAAAATGCACGCTACCCAAACAGGACAATGGAAAAAATGTCCCAGCCTGCAACCTTAGTGTTTTTTATATATAATGACAGTTATTCCCTAGGAGTGCCCAAAAGGTTCCCAGTTTTGGAAGAATTAGTCTGGCATAGCATCATGAGAGTTGTAGTTCACACCTGGGTATATAACTTGTTACTTTTAACACTGATTCTGACATTGGCATTAGTCTTGTAATTTCAGGACATTTGCCATAATGTATGTGGAATACAACGTATAAAAAAAAAAACCCGCAAAAAAGGAGATATTAAAGTGGCAGCAGAAATCGGGTAAGACTTTTGTTAGCTCATATATTTAAAAAAAAAAAAAAAAAAATGTAACACTATATCCCAACCAATAAAATGTCTCTAAATTGAAGACAATTTGAAAAAATATTAAAAAAACAAAACAGAACAAATATATATATAATACAGTAGCAGTCCATGAGGTGGTTAAAATAAAATTGGACCAAAATGTAGTGCTTATAACAATACAAGCGGCACAAGAGCGCATTGCATTCTGGGAATGAAATTGCACACGAGAGCTTTGCATTCTGGGAATGTCAGACTAATGGGTGCTTGTATCAAAGGTCTTTATAGACCTTTCTTAAGCTACAGAAAAAAAAAATAGTTAGCGAGAGACATGTTCAGTCAAATACATGCTTACTGGCTTTGCATTTTGTTTTTGAGGTAAGCAGAACTGTTTAACCCTTTTACTTCTATGAGGTCCTGCGACATATTTTAAGGGAATTGAGTTGCCTCACTCTGCCAGTAAAAGGGTTAATAATGTTATAGTTTACACTCTCTGCCTACTACAAAAGCAAACAGGAAAAAAATATCAATATCTAGCAAAACTCATCGTCGTCACTTACTCACACAGACGCAGCATAAAAAATAATATATAAGGCAGGAGATGTCAAGTCATTCCACTCACCAAAGATGGAAAAATGTCAGTACTTCAGTGTCTGATCAAAAACGCATGTGCCCTAGAAGTCAATAAACATACAGCTACCCCACCCAATTATGTGACTTAAAAACGTTTTGTGATAAATAACCAACCCACCCCGCCATCCCCATATCATCCACATCCGCACAATATCAGCCCTCGGTTAATACTGTCCTACATTCCAGTTGTGTTTAAAGACATCAGTTAGCGTCTAGTTTCACTCTATTAAAGTTTCATTGGCAAGAAGAAATATCTAGTTTTCAAATGGAAAATGTCAGCCGCTATGCCTTGGGGGAAAGAAGTTTTTTAGGAGTTTGGGGTCTCTTCGTCTGCCATAGGTGGCTGTGAATGGTCACAGCATCAACACTAGCCGACAATGTTTTGGCGGGGATGTGGCTGAACTGCTTGCGATCTGAGTTGTACTTGTAGAGGTTCTCGATCATCTTGCGGGAAATGGAGCGTGGGCCGATGCCTGTCAATTTGCTGATCTCCTCAGTTTCCGGGCAGTATGTGTAGAGAGACCTGAACATGCATCCAGAATCGCGAAAGAGGATTAAAAAGTTGTTGGCATTGGATTTTTCCATTTCCTGTCAGAGAGATGAAGAAGAAATATTTAGGAATATATCTGCTTCTCCTGTTGTAAGCTTACAAACATACTCAAAATACATATATTGTTTTCCTTACCACTCCTGATTTCAAACTGGCATTAATTCAATTCTTCAGCTAGTCATTAAATAATGTCATATAGGCATCAATTTGATCTTTTTGGATTAGCTTTTAAAATTATTTGATATTTTGGGATAGACCAATAAAATATTTTTTTTTCAAAATATTAAAAAAATCTGCCAGGATATTAAAAAGATCAAAATATTAAATAATAAAATATATTTTAAAATATTAAATCATTTTTAAAAGTTTATCCAAACATATTAAAGAGGCCATAGTTAATTTAGTTAACCTAGTTAATAGTTAACTCAAAAAATTGAGTTTATCATAAAAAGATAAAATGTTTGTGACATACTCACAAAAAAAAAAAAAGACTGAAACGACAAAGTAGCGAGAACCTCATCTTGTGTTTTGTTCCCCCCTCTTCTTGACAAATTGCAGAGCTACTGCAGTCAAGTTTTGTCATTCCCCCCAGCTATCACTAGTGAAGACTGTGGAAAAAAATAAAATAAAAAGTAATGGTGTATAGTGGCTCCAGCCACAGATATTAGTTGTGCATGATTGTGCGCAACAGTACAGCACTGGCATGGGTTCCTGGCAGATGAAGTGCCAGGAGCTGAAGAGGATCACCCGGATGGAGATGGGTGTGGACAGCTAAAGGTGAGTAAAACCTACCTTCCCTTGCACCCCTAGGCCACTGCACACCATGCGGCAATGTCACAATCTGAAGTCTTTGTAAAATATGCAATGACCCCAGAAGATGTCAGAGACACTTTAACAAAGTAGAGAAACTGACCTCTAAAATCTTGTTTTTTTGACCTTCATTTACTTTTCCAGCCAAACAGCAGTGAGAGAGGGCATTGTGGATAATATATTTGTTGGATTTTGCACTTGGTTCTTTGTATAACTTTGGTCCTGTGGAGAGAAAGCAATTTTAGAAGAAGAATGGCCTGCCTTTCAGTTAGATCACTGCTTCTTAAATATATTTTAAATTTGAGGTTGACTGATACACTTAATGAAAGACAATGAAGAGAGACAAAATGGAGTTAACTGAATAAAAAAAACTAAAATTAAAAAAAAATTTTAATAAACACTGTTAATGAAAACAAGATTGACGTTCTTAATATTTCATGCAATCTCTATTGAGGTTTAAAGAGAATTTGTGGGGCAAAAAAAAAAGTTTTCAAGATGCCTTCAAGGAATGTGTAAATGTGTTGCATCTTGAACGGGCCCTTGAACACCCACCAATAACAAAACTACTGACATCATGATACATAGCTGTGAACTCCAAATTTACATTGTGCAGGGCGTCTGTCATTTAAATGGATCACACAGTGCAATTTACTAGCCACAGTGTTTCAAAGCAAAAGAAAGAAATAAAATTATTATAAATAATAAACTTAAAATACAAACTGTTCTTCTGGAGGGAACAGCTTCAGGATATCCTAAAATATTATCTTCTGGTAGGCATCTTTAAATATGGAAATCCTCAATGTTACAAGATACAGAAAAACACAGACAACATAACACACTGGTGCTTTTTTGTATATCTTTGTTCTTCTGTTTCATATCACCTTGAGGTTCTCTATATTTAAGGATACCCATCAGGAGAAATATTTCTAAGAATATCCCGATGCTTCCCCCTCCAGAAGAACATTTGTGCTTATTATTGTTTTGGTCACAATCTTTTTATTTCTTTCCCTTGTACTCGGCTTTATGGAGATACAGGGATTCCACTATTAAGTGTTTGCTGCCCAACCCAACTTCATTGCAGACACTTAGAGCCTAATACACATTTTATTGCTGACAGTGGCATACACACGATCCATGGGGCCAAGGTGCGAAAATTGATCCATGCCCCCCCCTCCCGGCGCTTACTCTGCGGGGGCCGCAACACATGGCAGCGGGCACCACGGTATGTACGCCAGTGCATGCAGATACACATACACTTAAAAGGACCACTATAGGCACTCAGATCAATTCAGCTCAATTAAGTGGTCTGGGTACTAGTTCCCTCTAGTTTTAACCCTGCAGCTGAAAACATAGCAGTTTCAGAGAAACTGCTATGTTTACATTGCAGGGTTAATCCGGCCTCTAGTGGCTGTCTTCCCGACAGCCGCTAGAGGCGCATCTGCGATGCTGGATGTGAAATTCACATCCAGCATACAGAACGTCCATAGGAAAGCATTGAGAAAGCATTGCAGGGTTAATCCGGCCTCTAGTGGCTGTCTTCCCGACAGCCGCTAGAGGCGCATCTGCGATGCTGGATGTGAAATTCACATCCAGCATGCAGAACGTCCATAGGAAAGCATTGAGAAATGCTTTCCTATAGACAGTTTGAATGCGCGCCCGCAGCACTTGCCGCGCATGCTCATTCTGCTCCACTAACGTTGGCAGGGAAGGAGAGGTCACCAGCGCCGAGGGAGCCCGGCGCTGGATAAAGGTAAGCTGCTGAAGGGATTTTAACCCCTTCAGCGCCACAGGTGAGGGACACTGAGGGTGCAGGCACCCTTAGGGCACTATAGTGTCAGGAAAACCGCTTTGTTTTCCTGACACTATAGTGATCCTTTAATCCAGCCTCTAGTAGCTGTCTCACTGTGATGACGTCCATAGGAAAGCATTGAGTAATGCTTTCCTATGGGCGGTTTGAATGCCCGCACGGCTCTTGCCGCGCATGCGCATTCGGAGCCAAGAGGCGGATCGGGGCGGAGAGATCCCCAGCGCCAAGGGAGCCCGGTGCTGGAGAAAGGTAAGTGCTGAAGGGGTTTTAACCACATATACACGCTCACGAACAGACGCATACACACTAGCTAACAGACACACAAATTTTACTGACAGACATACATACACACACACTCACTGACAGACAGACACAAATATACACTCACAAAACATACGCTCTCACTGACACACACACTCACTAACAGATACCAAACAGACTCACTAACAGACACATACAAACACACTCACTAGCAGACACACACAGTAACACACAAACTAACACACACACTGACACTCACTAGCAGACACACACTCAATAACAGACACACACAGTAACACACTCACTGACACTAGCAGACACACACTCAATAACAGACACACACAAACTAACACACAAAAACTACAATTTTTTTTTATTTAATCCCCCTTTGGGAGTGCTGAGGGGATTCCAGTTTTCCCTGGTGTCCAGTGGGGCTGCTGGGCGGCCGGTCCTGCAGGCAGCGAAGGAGCACTGACCCTCCTGTTCAGCTCCCTCGCGCGTCGCTGCCGGAGTGACGTCATATTCCGGCTCCTGCAAACAGACAACCACTGCCAGCCTCTGGGGGCCCTGAGGTGGCCAGCTCCTGGGCCCCCCAGGAGAAGAGACTGGCAAACTGGCATACATACCTGGGTTGCAGGGCGGCCGGGCCCCCTGGTGGGCTGGGCCTGGTCACAGCTGCGACCCCTGCGACCGCGGTATGTACGCCAGTGATTACTGACTATTTACACTTTTTCAAAACGTATTTATTTATATCACTGGTGGTTGAGGATTTTATTTCTGCTTCTGTGTCACAAGTAAAGGTATAAACTGCTCAGTTACACATGTGTGTACTCAAGTCACAAATACAGTAACTATGCAATCCTGGGCTTGATATGTAGAATCTTCTAATTTATATGTTTTTGTGCGATTTCAGAAGAATGAAGTGTAAATTAAATTTTATCTACACGAAGAGGACATGGCTATCCACATATTTTGCTTGTTGGCCATCTATTAATGTACAAGTATAACTGATTTATCCAGAAGCTTATGAGTATTAATGCATAAACACATCACTCACCCGTATATTCCGTTGCGGATGCCACTGAAGAAGTAGTTGAGGCGTTTTCCCAGTCTTTATCACCATTACGACTGTTAGAACAACCAGGAGTACCTAATCCATCCCCTGATTCTGACCTAAAAGGACTGAAAAATAAAAAATGTCACACCTAAGTAGTAGTGTTCAGGAATAGTAAGAAACATTTACCCTACCCATTTGAAAGGATTTTGAATATTACGTTTCCTTATCCTCTATAGTTAACCAATATGTGTTTATATGTCTGAAAAGAATAAAATTAAATGTTATTTTTATTCAACAGTATAATTTCCAGAGAAGTGAGAATGGCAAGATGTCTTAGTTTACCTCTTTACACCCATTGATTTATTATACTTTTAGCAATCATTAAGAAGTATATAAATGTTATTAGCTGTTATTTTGTTTTTTTTTTTTAAAATCTACAATGAACCTATCAATGCATAGAAAGTATGAAAAAATGCATCAACTGCCAATCAAAGTCTCCTAAAGTTACCTTCCCTCCTAACTGTCCTGCTTTATGTTGATAAGTAATGTTGACGTCACTTCCTCATAAGAACACTCCAAGCGCCATATCAACTAAAATAGTTAGACTGCTTACAATGTGGAAGTGCCAGGGGACACATGGCACCATAACCTCTAAAGAGTGATGTAGTGGTTATGGTGTTTGGAGTGTTTCTTTAATATTACATCATAGAGAAAACAAAAATATTTTACTTTTTAGAAGTTTATTATTAAAAGCATAATTAAGGCAGATAGCTGTGTAGAAGTGAATCTCCATTAAGGGCTATTTACCTTGGTGTTCTTTTCCCAGAATGCACACTTTCATTTTCAGCTGTGTTCAAAGATGCTAAGGAAAGACTAGAAACTGTGAAAAAACAGAAAGAATGCATATTTTGTTATACCGGGGACAACTGATTTTAAATTCATGTACAAGGAAAACAGTGTTGCAGAATTGTCAAAGGATTTGCAAACTTTAAGTCAGGGCTAAGAACATAGTCAGGCTAGGAACTGATAATCACATAATAGCAGTATAACGAAATTTAGGCTCTGGTTCAAAAATGACAGGGGTCTCATATCTTTGTCACTTTTGCTACATCAAACCAGATGTCAACACAAAAGAACAAAAAGGCGCAAAGGTTGCAGCTTGCATCATTTTAGGTCAATTTAAAGCCAGAATTACGCTAAGTCCATACTGTTGGGATCGTGGCTTTGTCAGTATTAGAGAAAGGTCTTACAAACTGGGATCAAAGGTGAATTGATGCAGAAACATCAATATTGGTGAGTGACTTTACACTTCTATACTTTTTCTTTTCTCTCCTCCCCCTTCTCAGTTTTTCTTCTCTCTTACGCTATTTCCCCTAGCACTGTTTTGTTCCTACAAATGTTATTTTTACCCTCTCCATATCTGATGTTTTTCCAGTTATTGTGGATAAATTGAGGGGAGTGGGTATGCAGTGATACTTCTAAAGCAGCACAGAATTGAGTGGAAATTCGTAGAAGGTGTTTTACTGTGTAAGATTTCTTTTATTTTTTTATGTGAGTATATTTGGTGAGTTTATTTGGTTGGTGACTTTAATGGGAGAATGAAAATTGAACACTAGCTATTATTTGGTTATTTGTCTACAGATGAACACTTCATACATGTACGTACTTGTCTTACCTGGTGGGGGCCCGGTTGGTGTTTTTGGAGACTCAAGCTGGTGGTCTCTATGAATGGATTTGGGCCGGGGTTTTCTTGATTTATTAAAGTTTGTTCGGGGCTTTATTACAGAGTCCATGTCTTCCATTAATTTCAGCTGTTTCCTGCGCATGTATTCTTGCTTTATGAATTCCCGTCTAGCCTTTTCATCCTCCTTTTTAGTACGTTCCTCTTCAGATTTCCTCCTAGAGGAAAAAATATGGTCATTTAAAAACGGCAAGAAGAGCATAATTAAATTTGTTTATTGCAGATGGCTATTGAGAAAGTATACAGAAAAGTAATGAAACAAGGTTTCTATTTCTCCTCCTCATTTGCAGCGTTTGCCCTGACTTTGTCTTGTCTGTACTTGATTATGGTATGTTCTAAATCTTTAATAAAAATGTAAAAGAATACTCATTATCTCATAAGAAAAGGTTAACACAAATTATAGGTGTTTTTTATTACTTTATTAAATGGTATGAATCCCTGAGAAGTGACAGTTTTCCTGTAAATATAGCTTAGTCAGAAAGCAAAATATGATAATCTTGTCCACTATTGACATGGAGCCCCCAAATATTAGATTTTTCACTGACATATGGAACCATTTTCCTACAACATTCCCTCCTATGTACTGTAATAGGATAATCTCATCTATACTGAACTGCCAATGCACCCAATGTATATATGTTTCCTACAAACGAGGTTAGAATTGCATTACATTGTTGGCTATATGTCCCTAGAATGCTCAACCAGCCTTTACCTCTGCAACGCTAACATTGACCCATGTGGTTCTAGACTATAAGGCAAAGAATACTACCTTGCCTTTACCTCTGCAACGCTAACATTGACCGGTGTGGTTCTAGACTATAAGGCGGTTCAGACTATAAGGCCAAGAACACTACCTTGCCTTTACCTCTGCAATGCTAACATTGACCGATGTGGTTCTAGACTATTAGGCCAAGAACACTACCTTGCCTTTACCTCTGCAATGCTAACATTGACCAATGTGGTTCTAGATTATTAGGCCAAGAACACTACCTTGCCTTTACCTCTGCAATGCTAACATTGACCGATGTGGTTCTAGACTATTAGGCCAAGAACACTACCTTGCCTTTACCTCTGCAATGCTAACATTGACCAATGTGGTTCTAGATTATTAGGCCAAGAACACTACCTTGCCTTTACCTCTGCAATGCTAACATTGACCGATGTGGTTCTAGACTATTAGGCCAAGAACACTACCTTGCCTTTACCTCTGCAATGCTAACATTGACCAATGTGGTTCTAGATTATTAGGCCAAGAACACTACCTTGCCTTTACCTCTGCAATGCTAACATTGACCGATGTGGTTCTAGAATATTAGGCCAAGAACACTACCTTGCCTTTACCTCTGCAATGCTAACATTGACCACTGTGGTTCTAGATTATGAGGCCAAGAACACTACCCTGCCTTTACCTCTGCAATGCTAACATTGACCGGTGTGGTTCTAGACTATAAGGCCAAGAACACTACCTTGCCTTTACCTCTGCAATGCTAACATTGACCGAAGTGGTTCTAGACTATTAGGCCAAGAACACTACCTTGTCTTTACCTCTGCAATGCTAACATTGACCGATGTGGTTCTAGACTATTAGGCCAAGAACACTACCCTGCCTTTACCTCTGCAATGCTAATATTGACCGATGTGGTTCTAGACTATTAGGCCAAGAACACTACCTTGCCTTTACCTCTGCAATGCTAACATTGACCACTGTGGTTTTAGATTATGAGGCCAAGAACACTACATTGCCTTTATCTCTGCAACGCTAACATTGACCCATGTGGTTCTAGACTATACGACCAAGAACACTACCTTGCTTCTTCTTTCAGTTGTTCTTGCTCTAGCTCAAGTTCTTGTTTCCTCTGGTGATTTTCTCGCTCTCTCCGCAGTCTCTTCTCCAGCAGAGCTGCACGCTTTGCTGCCATATCATTTTCCTCTTTGCGGTCATCCTTATGGCAAAAAAATTAAGAGATTTAAAATTTTATATATTCTCTTATTGCCGAGTATGACACTCCAGGCACCCAAACAGAGGCAATTTATGATTGATTACAGTTAGCTATGGCAATTTTGTTTAATCTCTAGTTAAAAGAAAATGAATAGGCTTGCTCCACAGGCTCATCTTTTCTGCAATCTTACCCATGTTTCCCTTTCTACTACAACAACTTAGCTGTAATGTCTGTCATTATTTGGGTTTCTGGGAGTGGTACTTTAGCAGTTATAAGAGAAAACCTATTGGGTCCATAGAGCATTACTGTTCAATAATTTGTTGGATAAAGTCAGCATTCACATACAAAGTTATGTGGGTATGATATTAATTCTATTAGGAGGTAACTTGGGGATTTGCAGAAAATACTTCATATGTGAATGTTTTTTAATATCCTTAATGTATTGTTTTGTTTTTTTATATCTATATATATATATATATATTAATACATAACATATGTAACATTTGCTGCACTTAGATTATCGGACCTGTATTACAGAGACTCATCCGTCATATGTGGGATTTGAAAACATGATCTGCTCAAACAGGAAGACAGCACCCACCTGAACAAACATAGATCAGAACTCATACAATATGTAGAAAATACAATTAGTGCACTTTGTTTCACACTAGCTTTACATTTGACAAAAATATGATGCACTACTTTAAACTTTATAGGTCCTTACTTTACACACACACGTTAAAGACTTACAAGGTTTCTCTAAAAAAAATTCTTACATTCTATCTTTTTTTTTTTTGCTATAAAGGACAGACAGAGTAACATAATAATCAACATCAATAATTTCAACCAACCTTGAAAAAGAAACCACAGCAAACTTTTTGGTCCTCATTAACTAGATCTTTTTCAGCTTCCACTTCATTTCCCTCTGTCGGAAAATCTGGTGGCTGCAATTTGGAGAGTGGAACTTCAATAAGGTTTCCATTTTTGGATGCAGTTAAGCTCCGTTCAATGAACTTCTCATCATTTGGTGTGAGACATACTGTTTCTACGATAGGCTGAGAAAGCACTTCTGATACAGTTGATTCAATGGGTTTTGCTTCCACTCTTTTCTCTGGTCCTCCATGTCTTGCAGGCTCATCAGCAGAAGATGTATCTACTTGAGATGCTTCCTTGACTTGTGGTGCTCCTGCTGCAGGCTTGCGGTCATCTCCAAAATATACAAATGATCTTGTTTGAATCTGGCTAGGTGAGAACCTACGCAGACGAGGAAGACTGTCTACCGACTGAGGAGGAGTCAATGTGCGGTTTAAAGGTGGTATTTTAAGTTCGTTTGGACGAGGGATCCTTTGGAGCTTAGAGTTAAAAGACACTGTCTTCTTGATGGAAGTTTGCGGTGATATGTGAACAGGTCTTGGGGATTCCAATGTTAAGCAAGAAATTAGAGACCCTGTTGCTAAGGGTTTTGACAAAGGTTTGGAATCTCGTTGGAGCTGTTTCTGCGGAGAAGGTTGAGGAGGAGAAATGACCCATGATTGTTTTTCTCTCATCTGCATCAGTAGGTCCTGTTGCATGGCCAAACGTTGCATTTCTGTTTGGAGAGCACTAAGAGACAAATTGAGCTTTTCTATGGATTTTGTGTATTCCCCAACATCTATCTCACTTACATTTTCTTCAATGGGACTTTGAGGATTCAAAAACTTCTCCCCATCTATAGATATTTGTGGCAATTTCTGCAATTTCAAGGGAGCTTGATCCAGGCTTAGGTTTATATTTGGATTCATCTCAGAGGGGTTGCTGGCTCTTGGATCTATCACTCCATCAGTTTCTTGCCCCACTCTTTCGCTTTCTACACCTGCTGCTTCATCTCTCAGGGGAGAAATCCCATCTCCTTTCTTTTTCACCACAGTAAGAAATGCAGTTCTGCCCATTCTCTGACGCTGTCGTGTAAATGCTGCTTCTACTTTCTTCTTTTGAGCCTCAATCGCTCTTCTTTTAGCCTCCAGTTTCATCCTCAGCTGCACTACTTCAGATGCCAACAGCTGTGTTGTATCCTTGCTTTGTGGAACGCCACTCTCTTCCTGTATTTGTCCAATTGCTAAAATATGAGGGATATTTAACTCTGATCCTTCTGGAGTAGTCTTTTGCGAGCTGCTTCCACTGCTCCTACTGTCTCCATGGTTCAGTTTCCTAAACTTTTGCTCTGCAAAACTGGTCATCTTTACGCCAGAACTAGAAGAGGCTGTACTTCCTGCCTGTGACTTGCCACTTACTGAACTTGGACAGGGGCTTACTGGATCTCTCAGATTAGTAACTCCATAATCTTGGTGGAGCTTCAGTGGATCATCCAAATCAGAATCTAAGCTTACGGTGTAGTCTTTCAAAGATGAATTATCATCCATGGTTTCAGGGATATCTTCTGATGGCACGTGAATTCCAGTGTCAACCTCTGTGGTGTCGCTGACTGGACTCTGGGCACCTTTCCATCCATCAAGGAGGTCTAAGTTAGGTTCTGTAAGAATAGACGGGGACATCTGTAGAGCTGAATTTGTATCATTACTATGCAAGAAGAAACCATTATTCACTTGGTCCCCAATAATGGGTGTTTTCTCAGGGTTATGGATTATCTGTAGGGCTTCTTCAATACTAGGAGCTTCTATCTGACAATCAAGTTCATCAAAACTGAGCCTATTTTGATGTGGGCCATTGGATCGTTTGTATTGATCTCCTTCATCTGAGTCCCATTGTTCATCGTTAGGTGAAACTCTATCATGGTTTAGAGAAAGCTGATTAAACTCCTCATGAATACTTTCAGATGGTCCTTGGCCATTAATAGGTTGGAATGATAGATTTTTGCGAATATGTTTGGGTACACGAGCCACATTGAGAGAGAAGCCTTCATTGCTGATGGATCTCTGGATAGGTCTGCTTGGAGTTGTCACACGGATTTCATCTTCCTTATCAAAAGAGATGTCAAATGAGACACCATGCACGGATGATCTGCAAGAAAATCAAGTTAAAACCAAATAACATAACCAATCAATATGCAACAATAATACATAATATAAACATGGCTTAAAACCTCACGTCCTATGCCACTAGCCAGGCTTTAAAAGTTACTCGCCACTGCAGGCATTGAAGAAACATGTTACACCCTACCGGGGGTGAACATCTAATCACCAAGGCAAAATTTTCACTCTCCTCTCCTCTGTAGTGGTGATATACATTTTAAGATATGATATACTTCTATAGGGTAAACATTAAATAATCCAAATTATATGTACAAAACACTTTCCCCATTCCATATGACTGGTTCCCTTCCTCTACATGGCAAGCTTGTTTTAGTGAGCACACTAGATCAGGAATTGGCTGGAGATCACTCAATCATGGTACACCTACAGTTTACGAAGGCAGAATTGTGTGTTTTTAATAAACCCATAATTTTCTAAGATTTCAGCTGTCCCTTTTCTACGGAAAGCTGTACAGCCTGAGGTAGGTCCTGCTACGTCTGTTGCATTCATTCAAGCAGTGCAAGTTTTATTAGCTTGTTTTGAAAAATCAAGTCATAATTAATGCATTTTTTGAAAAAAACAAATAAAGTAAATTGTGACCTTGCATGTGTACGTCTGCTGTATAAGCACTCTCATAGAAAGGTACGAGAGAGGTTTTGCATCCACTTAAAAAGTAGTATAGTTATAGGCAAGCAGAACAGAAGAGGGAAAAAAATATATTCTACGGGCATTTTGCCAGCGGAAAGGGGTGCACAGTAAATGGAATTATTATATTCTGTTACATTAATGCCTGTTGGGTTTTAAACCTAGCATTCTGCAAATGATTTCAACTAACTTTCTATTTAGTATTGACGGATAACATTCCAATTACATTTTTACTAATAAACTCTCACTACATTTTGAGAAATTTGTTACCAAACCTTTCTTACACGTCTGTAAAAAAAAATAAAAAAATAAAATACTCCCAAACATGATTTACAAAGAAAATACTATTAGTAGGGCAATGGGTAGTATAGCCATAGGAATGATAAAAACAAATAAAAATTATTTAGATATATTGGATTTGGTTTTCCCTATGCTATTCGCAACTTTTTCTTACCTTTTCTCTTTTGGCCATGTTCCAACTTGCCCATCTACATATGACATGGAGGACGACCTTCGGATTGCTGCTAAAAATGTAATTTAGAACATAATCTCAATACAGAAAAAAATATTAAATACTTAAATATTAAATAGAAGTACCCTAAATAGGTTTTGAGAAAAAAAAGGACATATGTGGTTCTTAAACTCTGTGTTGGAACTAATAAGAAGTTTAATATGTGAAGTCCATTTTATCTAATTCCCTTTATTCAGCCCTTCTTCCCAGCCCCATCTCTTTACCTACTTTTTTGGGGGGAGGGGGGCCTAGCGATAGAAAGCCTTTGATTGTGGACCCTGAGCTAATATAACCCACTAGGCAAACGCATTAATGTGAAATTAGTTCCTCAGCAATATGTTAGTTCTAAATCTCAAGCAGAGTTACAGTACTTCGCTTAAACCTCATGCAATTTAATTTTTCAGAGCAAAACAAACAAAAAAAATATGCATGTAATATAATAAACATACACTTGCTTCATTGGGACAACTATACATTTCTGTACCACTTTGTTTTTACCTAAACCCTTAAGATCTATATAATTACCTGGATTCCGAGAAGTTTGTTGCTGTGGATTCCTGCAAGTAATAAAAAAAACAACAACCAAGAAACAAATCATAAATGTACGTTTCTGAAAATAGCATTTGTCTAGAATTCAAAAAGATATCAAAATGACTCATTATACAGAGATGCAGTTTGAATTGACCAAGCAATTCGAGTTTTAGGCCAATAGCAAAATCAGAAAATATTCTCCCACTCAATTACATTATCAGCTTGGCACATTTTGTGTGTGTGTGTGTGTGTGTGTGTGTGTGCGCACAAACATATACATACACTGTACAAAATTATAAACTCAACACTTTTGTTTTTGCCCCCATTTTTCATGAGCTAAACTCAAAGATCTAAGATTTTTTCTATGTACACAAGAGGCCTATTTCTCCCAAATATTGTTCACAAATCTGTCTAAATCTGTCTTAGTGAGCACTTCTCCTTTGTCGAGATAATCCATCCACCTCACAGGTGTGGCATATCAAGATGCTGATTAGACAGCATGATTATTGCACAGGTGTGCCTTAGGCTGGCCACAATAAAAGGCCACTCTTAAATATGAAGTTTTATCACATAGCACAATGTCGCAAGTTTTGAGGGAACGTGCAATTGGCATGTTGACTGCAGGAATGTCTACCAGAGTTGTTGCCCGTGAATTGAATGTTAATTTCTCTACCATAAGCCGTCTCCAAAGGAGTTTTAGAGAATTTGGCAGTACATCCAACTGGCCTCACAACCACCATGTGTAACCACACCAGCCCAGGACATCCACATCCAGCATCTTTACCTCCAAGACCGTCTGAGACCAGCCATCCGGACAGCTGCTGCAACAATCTGTTTTCTAAACCAAAGAATTTCTGCACAAACTGTCACAAATCGTCTCAGGGAAGCTCATCTGCATTCTCATTGTCCTCATTGGGGTCTCGACCTGACTGCAGTTCGTTGTCGTAACCGACTTGAGTGGGCAAATGCTCACATTCGATGGCGTCTGGCACTTTGGAGAGTTGGTGATCTCTTCACGGGTGAATCCTGGTTTTCACTGTACAGGGCAGATGGCAAACAGCGTGTGTGGCGTCGTGTGGGTGAGTGGTGTTGCAGCATGATAATGCACGGCCCCATGTTGCAAGGACCTGTACACAATACCTGGAGGCTGAAAACATCCCAGTTCTTGCATGGCCAGCATACTCACCGGACAGGTCACCCATTGAGCATGTTTGGGATGCTCTGAATCGGCGTATACGACAGCGTGTTCCGGGTCCTGCCAATATCCAGAAACTTCGCACAGCCATTGAAGAGGAGTGGACCAACATTCCACAGGCCACAATCAACAACCTAATCAATGTGTTAAACTGCGTGAGGCTAATGGTGGTCACACCGGATACTGACTGGTTTTCGGACCTCCCTCCCATAAAAACTGCCCTTTTTCCACTGGCCTTTTATTATAGACAGCCTAAAGCACACCTGTGCAATAATCATGCTGTCTAATCAGCATCTTGATATGTCACACCTGTGAGGTGGATGGATTATCTTGGCAAAGGAAGTGCTTACTAACACAGATTTAGACAGATTTGTGAACAATATTTGAGAAAAATAGGCCTTTTGTGGACATTGAATAAAATGTCTTAGATCTTTGAGTTCAGTTCATGAAAATGGGGGCAAAAACAAAAGTGTTGCGTTTCTAATTTTGTCCAGTGTTTAATATGGTTTCATATATATGTAGATATTATAGTTGAGATTGTAGCCACATTAGTCCAGTGATGCAGATGTGAAATAGTATCATATATTATTATAAAAATATATATTAATAAAAAGGTATGTAAAAATTACCATATAACAGGCTAGCCACTATAGAACAATGAATATGAATGTGAACTTTTGAAATGTGAAAAATTAAAAAGAAAAATTAAAAAGAAAAATTAAAAATTCAGGGAGCTCAGAGGCATTATTTTATTTTTAAATCTTAAAATACAGTTTGTGACCAAGGGATTTTGCAAGCCCTGGTCGCTATGCATTACATGAGAAATACAGAAATACATACAGGATTATTTACTAAAGGGATAATTAACCAGGAAATAGTAGAATTATTCCAAGTCTCACTTTAGCAAATAATACTGATAGTGTTGGCAAAATGTATTATTTGTTGCATATACAAGACGAACAAACACAGTACATGGCAGTCATCATGAAGCAATGCAAGAATCCCAATCAGTGGTCATGGGACTGTGCATAAGTTTCTTAAAGCTGCACGGCAAAATCCAATTTATTTATTTTAAAATTATTTTACCAGGAAGGATACATTGAGATTTCTCTAGTTTTCAAATATGTCTTGGGTTCAATAGTAAATAAGAAAGATAAAGTATCGTTGATGGAGCAATTCTGTGATTGGTTTTCTTAACCTACCTGAAACTAGTGGAGCGGGATACAGTGTTTCTTCTGATAGAGAAATGCTTAGGAGACTGCAGTGGGTCTGCAAAAAAAGACACACAGTTAAATCACAGATGTATTGAGAAAAAAAGAAAGCCTGGATCTGAAACATACAGCATTCTAACAGAAATCATTAAACCCTAGATTGCTAAATTCTGGCCAAAACATCCATGTTGTAAAAGTCTCCAACACAGCTATAATCACAGCCTGGCTATTATAGACTGCATTCTAATATTTGTTTTTTAATCTGTTTTGTGTCATACACATTCCTTCAGTCAGATTACATATGGTTTCATGCACCATTTTTCCTCTGGAAAATACACACACACTTTTTTTTTGTCCGTACTAGGTCAGCTTTCATAGCACCTTCCTAAAATTCCGTAGGAAGTGGAACAATGAACCCCAAAATACACATTACTCGTGTCTCATGTATTATTACCTTCTGTATTAACTACTCGTGGTTGCACAAAAGATGGTTTTACCACTTCAAACCACCAGAAGAGTTCTGCCATAAACACCAAGTAATTGGCCTGTAGAAAATATAAAAAACAACGTTGAACAGTCTGAAAATGAAATGAAAATGGTTTGAAATTACCTGGGGGAGATGCTATATGCATGAAGTGAGTACATGATAAAGAATGTGAAGCCACAGGAATGTCATTGATATTGCAATTTTTTTCATTTTATTTTTTAACAAAAAACACACAAGTGGGCTCCATACAGAATTATTCCCTAAAGTAGGAATTGAGGGGAATTCAAAGTGAATTTAAAATGTAAGGCCAATGTAGCCAAACTAGAAGCATGGCCAATTTTGAGATTTCCAGCTCAGCTACTTTGGCCTTGAATTTTAAGAATTCCTGGCAATTCTCACTTTAGTGAATAACAATATTTAAAGGAATACATCAGGTACCAGAGCCACCACTGTGCCCTGGCATGTTCCATGATGTAAGTAGTCAAACCGAATGCTGATACTGTGACAACTTACCTGGGGTCTGTTGGGCAGTGCAGGGCTTAGCTTGCTGATTGAGATAAATCAACTGACAGTTCAGGAGAAACAATGGCACTCCTGGTTATAGAAAGAGTGCCCTAGCTCAACGTCACTTCATTTATCAAACCATTTTAGAATAATTTGACAACTTATCAGGATCCTGTCGGGCACCCGCAGCTCCAGCCCCTTCTTCTGTATTCCTTTTAAAGGAGAATCCAGTTAGCTCTATTGAGCTGAGAAGGGCCATGCAGAGCCAGTCTAATTTACCAAGAGTGTCAGTTGAGCTAGGTTTTGACTCAGGCGTGCTTAGGCTTAATAGAGACATCCAGGCTGTAGTGGTTATGGTGCTTGGAGTGTTCCTTTAAAGGGCTACTTCAACTGCCAAGACCACTTCAATGATTTGAAGGAGTCTGGACATGCAGCACTTGTGTAGTGGGGGCAAGTTACAACCCTCGCACACACGACTTTGGCCGGTCGGAAATCTGTGCATATTTTATTTTTGTCAACAGTGTGTACTGCACCCAGACAACAGACGTAATCTTTCTCTACCCTCCCTCTGTGACGTCCATCCCGCCTTCTTCCATTACTTATATTTAGTATTTTTGCTCTTTTAAATTGAATATCTCTTGCTCTCCCTGCCATCTCAAAGCATATGCAAAATGGTCCAATCACAGACTTCAAACAAGCATGTGCACGAGTACAGCACAGACGCGGCTCCTAGCAAATTAAGTGCCCAGAGGAAAGCAGGATGAATATGGCGTCGGCCGTGTGGGACAGCTTCGGGTAACTAAAACGTAACTCCCCTGCACCTACCTGTTACTTTCAAGTGCATGTGACAGGTTCACTTTAAATTCATTCTAAGCTATCTAGACACAATTACGGTGCAGGGTCAATTTCTTTTTCTTTTACACAATAAGAAATACAGTTTCAAGAACCACAAAAAAAAAAAAAAAAAAAAAAACAACACACACAACACACAAGACAGTTGCCTGGTTAACTGCTCAATTGAGTAAACTTTGACCCTGTACCTCACAGTCAGCAGACACATTCCAACCAATCAGCAGCAGACCCTCCCTCCCAGACCCTCCCACCTCCTGGACAGCTCATTAAGAATGCAGCTTCACAATGAATGTAAAATGGATGCTGTCCAGGAGGTGGAAGTGTCTGCTGCTGATTGGCTGGAATGTGTCTGCTGACTGTGAGGTACAGGGTCAAAGTTTACTCAATGATGAGTCCGCCGCGAACCGTTCGGGACATCACTACTTAGCAATAAAAGTAAATGCTCATTTTCATGTCACTACCAGGAAAAAAAGAAATAGACAAACAAAACAATTCAATTCTGAGCCCACTTGCTCTCCAAATAGTAAGTGTTTTTAGGATGCCAATGGTAGGCGTCCAGGACAGCTGGATACGAACCTTAATTGAAGATGAGGCATACAGCATGTCTTCCAGCGTAAAATGGCAGCAACCATTGAGATACTCCTGGCAAAAATCCTGGATCAACTGAAGGTTATAAAGACTGTCTGCAAGGGACATGGATTCCTTGAAACAAATATCTAAAACAGAGAAAATTAAACTTTACATTTTGGATAGTTTCATTACAACACGAAACACAACAAAGTATTGCAATATAAAATGATTTAGGTCTCCACTTTAGACCTCTCCTATTGCTGCAATCCAGGGCCCAATAAACAGAAGTCCAACAGTACATTAGTGTATATTCTCTCAGTATGCATGTTAAATTAAATTATGATTCTAGACAAGATGTCACAGCATGTAACGGTTTGCCTGACCACCGTTTTCTTGAAGACCATACTCTGGATTGTCACATCCAACATAATGTACCCACGAATTTCTAACTCCATTCTAATCCCATGGTTTCACATCACACTAATGCTTCACATTATTCCAATCTAATGCACTGTGGAAAATGGTCTGAAATCAGAATAGATTTGACTTGTCACAGCACTTGTGCATGTATGGGCAATTAACCATCACGTACTGTGGAACGAATAATGTGTGTATATATATTTTTACTTTTTTTATTTTTATTTTTAATTGTTTTTTATATTTCTTTGTTCATCTTGACAGTATTCTTTGTTTTTGGGCAAGGAGTCCCTACAAATACAACTTCATGCACATCTTGTATATTGTTCTTTACACTTTAAATTATGGAAGTTGTGGATTATCTGCCCCTAATTGTACAGGTAACAATATCTCCAGAAATTGAAGATGAGATATGCTTCTAAATGTCAACTATGTCTTTTTGTGATTGTACCCCTATTTATATGTCCATTTAAATTTAATTATTATCAAAGTACTCAGATTATCGCTGAATTATGAGATGGGTTTGTCAATTGCACTTGTTTATAGCAAATTTACAAATTTGGAATATTAAGATGAGATGTGCAAGGGTAACTCTGTGCGCATCACCCCATGGAGAATGTTCTATACTCCCATTTACTACCTGCCTCTCCTAGCCTCTATGATGGAGATTTATCAAAAAGTTCTGTTTTAAAAAGTGGTGTAAAAATGTAAAAGGGGAGGAGTCATCAATGGAATGTGCTGCTGGTTTAACTTGTTCCCATGGTGACGTCCCCACTTTTAGAAAAATAAACTACTTTTTAGAACAGAATACTTTTAGTACATCTCATTAATGGCTCCCTGAACTGAAACCTGTTTTGCACAAACTAGCTATGAGATAGGCTGCCCAAACAGCAGTGAATGTTATTGCTGGTGAATGAAAACAGGCCTGACTATTTTTAAAAACGTGATCACCCAAGCCACTCCCTTAACATTTTCTAACATTCAAAGGAAACCCATGCAATTCTAACTTCATAGATATTCAGATACATTCATCAAATCCTCCACTTCCTCTATGTGTGCTCCACTTCTGTAACTATCAGTACTGAACTCAAGCATCTCTGGTCTCAACTAGGCTACTCTAACAGAGTTATCGCTTGGATATATCCATCCATTTATCAGCTTTGCTTCTGGAGAGGTTAAGAGAAAACCACTTATTACAACCCATGTTGGTTATGCTGGCATATCCTGATATTTTGGAACCAAGTAGTTGCTCTTATCGATACCATTTTCTGAGGACTTCAACAAACCCCTGACCACATGCATTGTGTTCCTAAATAGCCCAGACAATTGGCACCACTTTCACAAGGCTTCCTTTCACTGTTATTTAATTTTGTGGATATTTAACATGGATATTTTCAAATGCTACACTTAAAGCAACATGTACATTCCTTGTAAACCTCTATAGAGATAGCTAGAAAATCGTGGACATCATCATGTAACAGTGATATAGATGGTTTAAAATGGCCATCATGATACAAAGCTTTACAGGTTTAAACAGAGTATTTTCTTTCTTTCTAAGAATAACATTAAAATAATACGAACCTTCTAGCCTGATGACATCAGGGCAGTAAAAGTGGATGAGGGCAGATATTGCACAGCCATCAGTACCATCCTTCAATATGTTCTCCATGAGGGGAATGCAGGGGAGCTGTCGAAATACATTTGGTTCTTTTCTATAACGAGCCTGTGGGTGGTAAAAAAATATTGGGTTATATAGTGTGAGCTATAGCTCTAACAATCAAAATGACAGATAATCTAGCAGACTGTGTTTTAAAGTGGATCTGTAGATTAATGCATTATTACTATTTTTATTATCTTCTTACATAGGGAAATGTTTCTTCTAAGAGTTCTGCGTGTAAGAAATGTGTGTTTCTTTTTTCTATAATATCCTGCTGTTAAATTATTCAGTAGAAAAAAAAGCCAAAACAAAATAGAAGTATATATGTAAAAATAAAATTGTATATACTTAATCTCCTTTTAATGATTTTAAACTAAGTGGCAGCAACCTCTAAGACTCCTCCTTTAGAGCCTTCTTTCACATTGAGCGAACACAGTTATTTAAATGAACGCCGAAGTGACAGCTTCTATGCATTTTTTTAAACTCTGTTTATATTCCTTTTATATATGCGTTCCCTGAGAATGTCTAAAGATTAAACAAAAGGTTGGACCTATTTTGTTTTTAGTACCATTGTTTTGTTTACATCTGAACAGGTGTTCTCAAGTATTCCTCCGGGAGGCTTTCAGGCACATTATATGCGTTTGTCTTGTGAGTGCAACCATTAACTAAGCAGTTATCTTTAATGTTACATCATCACATTATTATTACATTTGTATTATTTTACCTCATTGGTAAGTAGTGAATGTTAAATGGCTTCCTTCTTGTAACTTGACAGATGGCTGAGGCCAGCCTTAATTAAGTGAACCACCACTTAATTTACACTGAGTGAGTTGAGAGGGAAAATAGGAGGTGGGATAAAGTAAATGTATTGACAAATTAGCCTTCAGACTGTGCATTTACTCCACAATAACTTTCACTAGCCTTTGAAAGTTAAAATACTACATTGGACAACGTTAGATAATATATTATTCATTTTACTTTGACAGATGCAAAAATATAATATGAGTCACTGGTGTGGTGTAAACGTGACGTATCTTTGCAGGTATAAAGAATGTTTCACTGCACTTTACAGTTTATTAAGCTGAACACATGCAGTGACATCATCTGTGGCATTTGCAACTGGTGTCTGTATTAGCAGCAAGCTATTCTCAGGTGTAAACCATGAGAGAACATAAATTTATGTAATTGATGGAGGGGATTTATACGGGTTAATGATAGTTTCTCACTTTAGAATATTGGGTAGGGAGTCTCAAAGTCTAAATCTAACCACCAGAACCACTGCAGCTTAATGTTACGGTTCTGGTGTCTAGAGCCTTTCCCTGCAATCTGACAATTGTAAACACTGCATTTTCTGAAAAACGGCAGTGTTTACATTTGCTCCTAAGGCCGCCTCTAGTCGCTGTCACTCAAACAGTCACTAGAGCGACTTTCTGAAGCAGTCCTGCTCTACATGAAGATTCTGAACATTTCCCTTAGCAATACATTGAGCCAATTGACTAAGAGTAGGAGAACCTGTAGCAAGGTTCCACCACTATCCAATGTCACTCAACTGCTGGCATAGCCCTCTATTGACAGGTGTCCGGATGGAGCATATCAAGAGGATATGTAGATTATAAAATGTGGTATCAACTGCACTAGCACATTGTATAGATGGAGTTTAATGTATGAATCATGACGGGTACACTGTAACATTTATTCAGGAATACATTATATTATGTATTAATACAAAAAGTAACCTCAGGATTTCCACTTGCCAATTCCTAGTATTAAAAATAGACCAGTGCACTAGCTGAGATGTTCAGCCACTAGTTCTAAGCCAACTCAGCTACTGTGTTGGGAATGCTTCAAATACTGCATCAAACAGCCTTCATAGTTCAAATATATGTAGTCAGGTTGTTGCCTTAAATTTCATTTTGAAGATCACAGCAAACTTAGCAGTTGTATTTGTCCCCTAATTTCCCTGTGATTAATTTTGAAATCAGGGGAGTCGCTGAATGCAGATACTCTGTCGAATCCCATAGATCACATAATAGTAAGCGTTGTTCTGTAGCAAGTAGCATGGCAAGAAACACTGGAAAATACATTTTGTGTCCTGCAATTAACAAATATATGTAGAAATATAAAAAAAAACTACTGTAAATATATTGTACATGCAACATTAAAATGTACATATATTAAAACAGAAAAATAATATAACTAAAACAATACATGGTAAATGTACAGATAACTGTCTAATTCAAATGTTATCCAAAATAAATAATCATATCTTACCATATATTGTGCTAGTTAATGAAAACGATTATGGAAACAAGAAATATGATACGGTAAATCTCAAATTCAAAATATTGTCCCTTGAACTAAAGTAAAAAAGCAAGACTATAGGGGAACAATTTATAAAAAGGCATGAATAAAAAATAAATAAAAAATACCTGAATATACCATATCATATTGCTTATGGTTTAATTAATTTGCTCCCCCCCATCAGCTGGGTACAGAATTAGTGGCCCCAGACTGACCGATGCTCTGTTTGCTGCACTCAAAGTACGTGCTTCAAACATGCATTTAAAACCCCATAGACAGCAATGCAGTGTGAGCAAGGTTCAATCCTTTCTCACTCCAGAAAACCCAGGTATCAATACATACCTGGGGCTACCCTCTATCAGCTGGGGCTATTTTTAGTGGTTTGCTTATAGAGTTATATTTGGGATTAGTATATGATTTAGGTTTAAGGTTTAGGATTTAGGATTAAAGGACCACTATAGTGCCAGGAAAACATACTCGTTTTCCTGGCACTATAGTGCCCTGAGGGTGCCCCCACCCTCAGGGACCCCCTCCCGCCCGGCTCTGGGGAGAGGAAAGGGGTTAAAACTTACCTTTCTCCAGCGCTGGGTGGGGAGCTCACCGCCTCCGATCCTCCTCCTCTCCTCCCTTTCGGCTGAATGCGTACGCGCGGCAAGAGTTGCGCGCGCATTCAGCCGGTCTCATAGGAATGCATTTACAATACTTTCCTATGGACACTTGCGTGTTCTCACTGATTTTCACAGTGAGAAGCACGCAAACGCCTCTAGCGGCTGTCAATGAGACAGCCACTAGAGGATTTGAGGGCTGGATTAACCCATTTATAAACATAGCAGTTTCTCTGAAACTGCTATGTTTATAAAAAACAAAAAGGGTTAATCCTAGAGGGACCTGGCACCTAGACCACTTCATTAAGCTGAAGTGGTCTGGGTGCCTAGAGTGGTCCTTTAAGGATTTAGTATGGTATTAAGATCACAACTGTTACTTTGCAAAGGTATACATATGTAGTATTGTTGTACTCAGGAGATGTTGCCGAGTATAGTTAAACTTATTTTATTACGAGACAGGTGAGATTAAAAGGACACTACAGTGCCAGGAAAACAAACCGTTTTCCTGGCACTGCAGGTCCCCTCTCCCTCCCACCCCCATCCCAGGTTGCTGAAGGGGTTTAAACCCCTTCAGTGACTTACCGGAGTCCAGCGCCGATGTCCCTCGGCGCTCGTCCAGGGTCTGCCCACGGATGACGTCGGCTGGGGAGACAGAATGCTTTCAATGCTTCCCTATGAGGATTTTAGCGATTTTGTGCTAGAAACCCGGAAGTGCCCTCTAGTGGCTGTCTGCCAGACAGCCACTAGAGGAGGAGTTAACCCTGCAAGGTAAATATTTAGACCACTCCAATGGGCAGAAGTGGTCTGGGTGCCTGGAGTGTCCCTTTAAGAAAAAAATTTGTACGACAAATTTTAAAAAGAAAATGGTGAATAAATGGCACCTCAATAAAGCTCAAAATAGATCATGTAATAGTTACCATGGTGTCCAGTTTTGCATAGGGTATGCATCTATGGAGTAATATAAAGGTGAACTACTAAAATGCATCAGAGCCCCATGTTCAATTTGTCATTTTGCTTAAAAACTGCAATGGGCAGGTTATAAATTCAGCTCTGTATTTTCACAAAAACTTGTATACAAAGGGAGTCAATTTGTACTCGGGAGATATAGTGCAAACATTATAGTGATTTTTATTACAGTGCACATATCAAGTTTACATAATAAATCACTAAAGTGCAATGTGCAGGCAAAAAATGTGAAAATAAAACAATACCATAAACTTTGAAGAAAATTGGCGATAAAGAGTGCTGTATGATAAGGCTCATAATATACCTCATGACATACCCCGTGGAATCTACTTTCATAAATGGCATGCATTTATGGAGTGATTTGAACTGTGAAACGGCTACAATGGCCCAAAATGCAGAATAGGCCAATCAAATTTAGCAATGAAAATTCTTATTGTAAAAACTAAAACAGTCAGATCTCTGATAGAGCACAATATACATCATAAGATGTACCCTGGAGTGTCATAAGTAGTTGAAATTACTCCACAAAGGCCTACCATTTGTGACAGTAGACTCTACTTTCACAAATGGTAGGCCTTTGTGGAGTAATTTCAACAGGTAAACTGCTAAAACATCCCAAAATGAGACAGAGGCCAATCATATCCATGTTTAAAAGTTCTACATCTAAAAACTGAAATGGTCAGGTCTCTTATATTGCACTGTGATTTCCAGAGATATTGGTAAAGGCAGAGATTGGGGTTATTGCACTCAGCAGATTGAGTTGAACACAATGTGGGGTTTTGTTCTCTAGTAGCACATATCAAGTATGTACCTCAAGAGACCGTATGGCAGCCCAGGAATGAAAAATATTCCCACCATGGCATACCATCTGAAAAAGTAGACAACTACGGGTATTCAAAATGGGGTATGTCCAGTGTTTCAATATCCACTTAGTCACAAACCCTGCCCAAAATTACTGTTCATATTTGTTTTTTCACACAAAAAAAAATGCACTTTCGTCGATTACAAGGTTGTCGTGATAGGTTTTGGAAACACTCATATTTGTGTTCATTGAAGTCTCCAGAGTAAAACAGCACCCCTCATGTACAGGTTTTATGCGGTTTTTAGAAAGTTACATGGTTAAATATAGGGCTTGCAAATTCCTTCTCTGGACTTTCTGCCTGGATTGTCAGATTACAATTATGTAAAAATAATATATAAATATACACATAGAATATATATATATATATATATAATATAATAACTTAGAACGTATAATATTTAGTAAAATAACTTAATTGGGAGCATCATGAAATTGGATCCCATGGCCATGCAGTGGCATGCAAGCTTATGATCACCATGCACAATGCCAAGCAATAACTGTATTTGTGTAAATATTACCACTATTAAACAATGGAAAAGCAGCAATGTGATCTCTGGGGTAATGAATTGTGCTATCAAATCTGGCAGCCTGACAAATGACTTTGAGTATGGTAAATGCCAAGAGAGCACCAACAGCCTGACTGCACAGTGCCAACTGTAAGGTTGAGTGGATACACAATAAAAAGGTATAGATTGTTTATCATTAAATCACGTACAATGACACACTTTGCAAGAATTTCTGGTTAAGTGTAAAATCTCAAGTATTATTTTGCCTCTATTGACAAAAATATATCTTGGGGGCTTGAAGAAATTATAGTTTTAAAATGTTATTAATGGAGAATACTTCATAATTGTTACTTAATACAAAACAGATATCTTTGGAACAGATGATAATTTTTCATAATGTTTAAAACAATACAGATTGTTGTACATGCCCTTGTTCTAAATCTGATACTTGAAACATATTAAACACCAAACAGATATGTGAGACACAGTAACAAAGAACACTAATGCTAAACTCCACTGAAACTAGATTCAAACTTTATAAAAATAAGAGATACAAAACAGTAGGACTGGATGGAAAGAACTTTAGTAATTTTAACAAATGCCATGAACGTAATCGAATATACAAATAGTGTTAAATGGGATGGTGAGGACAGACAGCAAAATATAGAGGAAAGCCGCTCTTATAGAACACAGATAAAATAAGCGCAAACAAGACTTACAGGGACCAGTTTCCAAAACCATTTGGAAGAAGACTTCAGAGGGAGCAGCGGGATTTACAGACAAAGCAGGGGAAGGAAAAAAGCAAACAGAGAGAATGAATCAGAATTTGCTTCATGAAGCAGCCAAGGCGTTAGAGATTCAACAGTATTAGCAAAATGCAAACAGCGTGAAATAAATAAATATAGAATGTTAATTTAAAATAAAAATAAAAAATTTTAAAATCGCAAAAAGAGATAAATACATTATTCCTGTTTACATTAATGATGTCATTAAACAAAGTGGATAATATGAGAACCTGTGAAAATGTTTCATAATTATTTCAGAAGGTTTATTACAATTAAATTAATACGGTCTCTCAAGTTTGCAGAGTTTCAGTCTGTGGACCAGGTACCCAAAGGAGTTCTGACGTATTCATGCAAGTCTTTAAGAACAGCTTAATTCAAGAAATTAATGGAGCTGAATGAAAACCTGACAGAGCTACATATTTATAAAAAGCGGTTTCTAATGATACTTGGTTAGAAAAAAGAAAAAGAAAAACAAAAAAGTTTATAAAAACCTCTAACATGGTCATGTGCTAGCATTTTGCACTAAGCTGTAAGCTATTTTCTAGAGAAGGCCTCCAGACTACAGCAGTTATACATTTCTGTTTCACTGCTTACTGCCACCCATTCTATGCATTCAAAAGTCGTGGCATTGAAGTCGTGGCACCTGTGGCACTGCTCTTTGCAGTAATATATGTACTTATTTTTCTGGTGACTATAGTGTCCCTTTAAAAATTTAAAGGGACACTAAAGTCACCAGAACAACTACAGCTTAATGTAGTTGTTCTGGTGAGTATAGCATGTCCCTGCAGACATTTGCATTGATGTCTGGTAACCCCTCCAGTGGCAGTCACTTGATTAAATTGGCGCAGCGCATTAGCCTCCCTTGCTTTGCTGCTGCTGTGCAGTGCTGGAATAAAGGCAAGTTTTTACCCTATTTAAGGGGGCAAGTGGTGGATGGCCACCTCAATAGTGTTTTTAACACTATAGGGTCAGAAATATAAAGTTGTATTCCTGACCCTATAGTGTTCCTTGAAGAGTAAAAACAAACCACAAACTTAACCTGCACCTAAATCTCTACAGCTACAATGTGGGTGAACATCTTGAAAGCATCCATTTACTTGTTCTAGAATAATGGTTCCAATCTTAGAATTCAATGTTGTCAAACATCCAATGACAATTACAATCTAGTGATATAGTAATCATTACTAGAGAAACAATACAAGATTAAGCATTAATGAAGCCTACATGACTTCCTTAAAGGGAAACTATAGTGCCAGGAAAACAAACTCATTTTCCTGGCACTATAAATTTCCCCTCTGTCAAGCCCCCCACCCCCCACGTGGTGCAGAAGGGGTTAATAGCCCTTTCTGTCACTTACCTGGGTCTACCGCCGATGTTATTTGGCGCTGGCTCAGCTCTGCCAACACTCCTCCCCTGCCGACATTAGTCAGCGGATGAGACGTAAGGCACATGCGCGGCATTGGCTGCGTTTGCATTTTCCCATGGCTTTCCTATGGGGATTCCGGTGACACTGGAAGTCCTCATGCATAGCGTGAGGACGTCCAGCGTCGTTTAGACTACCAAAAGTTGCTTATGCACCTGGAAGTCCTTCTAGTGGCTGTCTAGCAGACAGCAACTCGAGGAGGAGTTAACCCTAGCAGGTTATTATTGCAGTTTATAAAAACTGCAATAATTACATGCTCAGGGTTAAGGGTGATGGGAGTTTGCACCCACATCACTTACATGAGCTGAAGTGGTCTGGGTGCCTACACTGTCCCTTTCCTAAAATTAATAAGCAGTGCAATAAAACCTCCAGCTCAACTTTGAGCGGGAACACTTCTTACCTTGGGAGTTTTGTTTGGATCCATGTTCTGCTGCTCCTTCAATCGTTGTTCTTGCTCAAGAATACCTTTCAAATGTCCATTCATCTGAAACGAACACGAAGAAGCTTTAATTTTTTTTTACACGACAATCGAACACACAAACTGTGCTATAATGTCTCAAAACATGGTCATTGTTAAATATTGGGCCACAACTAACATTTTTTTCATAAAGTTCAAGTTCTTTAACTACTAGTACTGCAACAACTGTACTGTCTGTGACTAAATATGGATCTGTCATTATCACTGAGACTGTTAAATATGTGTAAATGGATTCTGGAAATTGATTTGATGTCACTTTAAGCCTCAAAACAGTGGTAGTTCTACATGTTATTGCCTGGAAAAGACAGCTTAGTAGGGTAATGCACCTGTATATTTCCTAAAAGAACTGGAATTGGGACATATGAGTCTTGTAATGACCATACACATACTCCCGGAATATAACCCATCCCTGTGAGGAAATCCCACCTTGTTGATCCAGTACATGACAGCATCCTCAATGTCATAGGGCATATCGGCTGCCTGAAAGAAGGGTGAGTACTTGTGGACACAGCCAATGACTTTCTCAATGCTGACCATCTCTACGGTATATGCCATCATCAGGGTATCAATCATAGCAAGATGAGCACTCTGCAAAACAATGATGATATGAACATCAGAAGTACAATGGGACTATAAGACATTGATTCTTCCTTTAGATTAAGAGTATAACTCTATAGTGCCCTTCTCCCTAGTTATTTACAAGATGCGTCCCCTCCTCCCTCCAAAAAATAAATATATAATAATAAAATAAAAAATTAAATTCCAGCGCTGAGGCTTCCGCCAAGTTTTACAGAGTAACTGAGTTTTACTTAGTCAGTGCAGCGAAAGCGTCTCTAGTGTCAGTATGAGATGTGTTTACGGTAAGGTAAACAATGTTATTTTTGTAAAAAAGTATTTTACCTTAACACTTACAGGACCACTCAAACACACAGGATCATTGTGCAAAGACCACTCTACTGAGAAAAGAATCAACCCTCTTTAAAAAAACAAACAAAAAAAACTTTTAAAATACAAGTAGCAATGTACAGAAAGATTTGGTGGGATGTTTATCAAAGTGTTCTGAAAAGTGAAATTCCGTCATTATTTTGAACATATTTATTATAGTGATCAAAAAAGTGACAGTTTTCTTCATATTTAGTGAAAATATTCTACCCTGCTTCTGTTGGGGGGAAAACATTAAATGCATTGTCGAAAAAAATGGCACAAACATCACAGTTAGGACGCAAAAAAGCAGTAGATTATTAAATCTGACAGATTTTGAAAAATTGTGCAAAAAAGTGTTGGCGACATTTTTACATATCTCCCCTGTGGTGTTTTTCATTAAGACAAAATGTTTGTGTTCCTCCTGTAATATAGGAAAATCATGAGGGAATTAGCACTTACATTAGAGTGCAAAACGAGACCTATGAAATGACTTCTTAATCCCTGTCCATTATACAGCAAAACAAACAATAAGAGCAGTGACCACAATTACACCATAAAAGACTGCTCATAGCACCGCCCCCAGAAGCTAACAGATACCCACAATTTGCTGCAGGTTCCCCAAAATGGCTGCCTTAGTGAATGCACGTCAAAGAGAGTAACAACGTGCTATAATGCTCAGTCTGTGTGCACACTATCCAGGATAATGCAAGCATCACCTGAGGCTAAGAAGATATGCCAGTACCCAGAAGTCTCAAGGAAGGACACAACCCGCCACGGATACAAGCCACGCGATAACTCCACAGCCTTTGCACGTCATAACTGCAAGTATACACCCCACTGCACCATTATTTACATACATCACAATAGACTCAACTCCTGGGCCATACAAGGATACTCAAGGGAAATACAAACCATATACTACTAGTAACATAACCAGTGTCTCACACATGCCTTCCCTTTATGAAAATATATAGCCACAATGTCAGGGGGCTGAACACCCCTGTTAAACGCCACATTCTATTCCAAGACCTTTAAAAATCCCAACCTGACGTAGTGTCTCTCCAGGAGACACACTTCACCAAACCACACAACCTTAAACCCCTCACATACCCATATCAAGATCACGCTACGGCAAAATCCAAAACGAAAGGGGTCTCTGTGTTAATAAGCAACCAAGTAGCATTCACAGAACATGACCTTATCATAGATGAGGAAGGCCGATATATCATACTAATTTGCATCATCAATGATATTACCTACACAATAGTAAATGTATACGCACCCAACTCAGAACAACGCAACTTCCTACACAGAACACTAGCTAAAATAGAGCCTATCCAGAAGGGAATGTTAATAATATGTGGAGATTTTAACCACACTCTGGACCCTGGCTTAGACTCATCCAAAGGATCAAGTACACAGGGAAACACCCCAACCAGGAGACAATGCAAAACATACCAGAACCTACTTGACGAACATAACCTCTATGACGCATGGAGGGTCCTCCACACCGCAGAGAAAGACTTTACATTCTTCTCCTCGGTACACAACTCCTACACCCGAATCGACAGGTTCCTCACTGAGGGAAGACACTTAACGCAGGTACTCAAATGTTCCATAGCGACAATCACATGGTCGGACCATGCGCCCATCACCTTGGAACTAAAAGACAAATTTGAAAGCCACAATAGAAGCCCTTGGCGTTTGAACGAAACACTATTACATGACAAAACATTCACAAAACACATAGAAAACACGCTCAAAAACTATTTTAAAGAAAATATCACACCAGAGATCTCTGCGGAAACCACCTGGCTAGCTCACAAACCCGTCATCCGCGGGAAACTGATAAAAAGAGCCCACTACCTCAAACGGACGTCCCATACCCAACAAGTCCCCTGGTAGAAAACAACTACATGATCTTAATAAACTAAACCAAACAAACCCGACCCCAGAGTTAAAAAGCCAAATCTCAGAAACACATGATAAAATACAGACTTTAGCACTTACCAAAGTAGGCTACTCACTAAGGAAATTAAAAGCCACACACTACTCTCAGGGTAATAGAGCGAGCAAAATACTAGCCCAAAGACTTCGAGACAGACAGGCCGCATCCAAAATAGCACACATACAGACACTAAATGGAGACAGACTAGTGGCTCCGAAAGCTATAAGCAAATTCGCCACGTACTATAAAAATGTATACAACCGTAAAAACGATCCACTAACACCCTCAACATCCCCCGAATCTATCGATGAATACTTAAAGGACGCCCACCTGCCAACCCTCTCACAACAGCATAGAGAAGCCCTCTCAACCCATCACTCAACAAGAGGTAAAGGACACAATAAAAACCCTTCCTGCAGGCAAAGCCCCGGAAAAAATAGTACCGGAAAAAATAGTACCGGAAAAAATACACAAAATTTGGCCCGCCTCCTCGAACATCTGTTGGCGTTGCGAGAGGGAAGTGGGCACGATGATCCACATAGGGTGGACATGTCCCACACTGGCTCCTCTCTGGACACAAGCCCTCCGAATCATGTCGGATATACTCGGTCACCAGGTAGAAAAAAATCCTGCACTGTGCCCGTTGTACATGTTTCCTGAGAGGATGTCCAAAACTCACCGGGCGTTAATATACCATACGCTTCCATCAGTACATATCCTAATAGCTAGACATTGGAAATCTAGAGAAATACCATCGCATACACACCTAGTAAACCAAATTGCACTCAATTGAACATATGAAGCCATGCACCAACACCAATATGGCCCAAGACCCACAGTAGCGAAGGCAAAACAAATATGGGACACATACAACAACCAAACATCATAATGGCTGATGGAAGGTAAGAACGGCATCCGTGGTGGGGCGCAGATAAGATCCGGTCCTATCACGAGAACAAACAATAACTCGGCGACAGACGACATTTGCTGGCCATCCTCCCCTACGGACGCAGGTCATCCCACCAAACCAGCAAGACAACCGAGGGTCATCCCTTCCCCATTCCCTTGATAACCCCCTCCCCCAACATCCTTTCTCCCTTTCTTTTCTTTACCCCCCCTTCAACACTAACCTCCCCACAAAATGCTTGGGGCATGTAATATGCATTATTTATGTACCTAACGACAACAAGTAATGTCTATACTGAAACGTCTAATCTGAATGTAACCAGGACACATTAACCTATGTTTAGTCATGAAGAATATACTAAATGTACACACGCGTTTATAAAGTTTCCGCATGTCTCAATAAAAATTGTCAAAAAAAAAAAAAGAAGATATGCCAGTACCCAGTGTGGTACATATTTACAACCTATGAATAAAATGCAAATACTTGTGTTAGCAATTTAAAGGCGCACTCCAAACACCTAAAGGACTTTAACTTGTATTTTTTATTTCACTTTTACAAAACAAAATGCAGATTTCCATAGAAATGTTAACTTTTTTTTTTTTCAAATTAACCTTGTTATACCCGTAAGAGCTGGCAATTGGACGACAGTTCCTGTTACTTCCTGGTTGTTTAACTCACAGAAAGTCTGGGTTGGGGTAAAGGGGTGGCTTGAAAAGGTTGCAAACAAGAGAATTGCAGATATTGCAAGCTGCTTTTAGATAAACCCACAAACACATGCTTGTTTTAATTGAGGGTATATCTAATAAATAGTGAATTATTTCTTTTTTGGACAGTTGGTTTTCCCTTTAACAAGCACAATGTACAAACTGCATCTGTTCATATATTATGTGACATCACAAATGACATAACCCTATGCCTATACCGACTAAAATATGAGCTACAAACCGTTTGAGAAGTGGCCAAGTGGCTTACACAAGTCAAGCTATGGCATGTTGCCTGCTCTCAAACACAAAATTTTACTGTGTAAATTATTTTTATTTCTATGCTTTAAAGGATATCTATAAAAGGATAATCGGCCACATCACCACTACCCAGTTGTGCAAAGCGTTCATCAACAGCGTCACCATACACACAGGTCAGTGTGTCTGCTCTTAACAAAGGCTTGACAACTAGATTATGGCATTATCCCACTAATACCTTTGTTGGGGTTTTAACAAAGCAGCAAATGTACCACATTAAACCTTCCAAGGCCTTCTCCTCACCTCCAACTAATCTCTTCGAGCCACGGAGACAGAGAACATGCTTTATTTAACAATTAAACATCCCTTGCTGATTCCTGTGACAATGAATGTGATTGCCATAACAGTGGCCTACTGCCAGTTATTATCTACTCCCAGAGTTATCTAATAATGCAAGATTAATTGAGATCATTTCAAGCACTTAATTAGAGCAGTTATCATGTTATCCGTAGAAAATTAAAGGAGACAAGTAGAGTAAGGGTGATACATTTGTTGGCCAAGTAGATGCAGAGTGCAATTTGTTCTAAAAAGTTAATAAATAATAAAAATAAAAAGGAGAAAGGACTATATTGGTATTTTTTGTTCGAACAGAATATTAAAGTGGCTTACGGGATAGTAATGAAAGGGGAGGAGTGGGGGTGGGGGGAGTTGTAAAATGAAGAGTGGGCGGAAACAAATTGCACAAACCATATATTTTTTTTTTAGTTGGGTACTGGATTGTGCAAAAACTGACTGTTCCCAATAAGCTATCATCTTGTTTTTATTACGGCAAATTCAAATACAGTGGCATGTCTCATTGTATCAATCTGCTGTGTTTGTGTTTCATTGTGCGTCTGCCACCATGGCCGTCTTGCACATTCATGGGGTGTCTCTGGCCTAAAACTAGTAATACTGCTAGTGATAAAAGCGTGTACACATTTGCTTAGCAGGTATTGTGCATAGATTCATTGCAAAAGTAAAAATAAAAAAGTCGCACTTCATGGAATTTAGTCACCAATAGAGAATTTCTCAAAACTGAAATATGAGGATAACAATTAGTTGGCAGATTCTGTAAATCAATTTCTATAGTGATAAATATATTTACATATAGTGTTGACTTTAATTATTTACAGGAGGTTTTTAATTACTGTGCTGCCAAAATTAAGTAGCTGCCTGTCCCTTCCAAATTAGAGGTTAAGGAAGAGTAGACTTGATTATAGTTATTACAGGGAACTGCAAATAATGCCCAGTGTTATAATCAAACCAGTCAATAAAACAATGATAATATCAAGTCTAGGAGATGCTGTACTTATCACAAGTTGCAAAATGCAGACGTGTAATTATAAATTATACATTATTTAACCTTGAAATTGGGGAATGTCTGTGTTTGGGGAAAAAGAAACATAGAAGCACTGTGGAATAGATGATTATTTTATTCCCAAACAAATATTTATTTATTTTTTTCATTATGATTTTTTTATACAAATTTTATTAAGCAATTACACAGTGCCAGTATTTTTCCAAAGCACTTCACAGTTATATAATGAGGATATTTAACAATCAGTAATTTATATATAAAATAAATGGTGACTGACAAGAGGTGAAGAAGGACCTGCATAAATGTTTACAATCTATGCGATAGAACAGAGCTGGACTGGGGGGGAATCAGCCCAGGCTAATTTTGAAAAATGGGTAAGTATGTGTGTGTGTTAAAAACTGGTATTGGTTTAAAAGTTTATTTTTATTTTATTTAAAAAAAGATAGCAGTTACTACACTGAATGTGCAAACTTTCAAAAACACACTACAAAGTGACAATTTCATGTAAAACAGTGGGGAGCTATATACTTGTAAAGTGCAACCAATGTGCTTAAATGTGCTAAGTGTAAAAAATCAAAAGGGTAATAACTTAACTGGCAGAAATAACCATCTGTGGTGTGCCAGCAAGTATACCGTAAAAGGGAAATCAATACAAAATAGTGCAAAACCTTAATACATATGATAAAACAAGAAATCCAACATGGAACACTCACATGATCCAGAGCTAACAGACCTAGCTCTAGTGTGTGTAGCCTTTAGGTCAGTTTAGCCGACCTTCCCCTCTCTTGTGTTGATTCTTTAAGTGGATCCTTTTTCTAGCGGTGTATCTCAGGGTAGAGGGAATAGGTAGAAATAGTGTGATATTACTTTAAGAAGAGAACTTGATATGTGGTAGCAATTATACTCACAATTATGGAGCCTAAATCGTGGCTCAGTACAGAGGCTTAAGGACCACACCACCTTCTTTGATAAGTGCACAAACTTTGTTGTTTGTTATCACTGATCTCATTAGTCAGTACGTAGCCTAAGACCACAGGGGCCTACTACAGGGTAGTGGTAATAGGGGAAAAGAATGTCATTAAAGGATTCTTGAAACCATGGGTCTAATGATTAATGAACATCTCCAGCATCCTGATATGGCATTATTTTTCCCAAACATGTTTACTATTGTGCATTTTAATTTTAGGGGTGTGTCTGGGGGTGTAATCATTGGCGGGGCTGTTCCGAGAAATTCTAGGTGACTTACTTATAACAATGTATGTAACTAAAATATCATGTAAAACAAGAATAATGTATTTTATTTTCATAATCCGATTTCTAAACATATTTAATGTAGGCTAAAGACACATTACTGTGTGCATTATCACTGTGGAGCTCTGTTATACACTCAGGCACACCAACAATATGGAGCTCCTAGAAAAGCAGAACAATAGGATAGAAAAGAGGGACAGATGGATTTGGAGATTTATGGATTGTCCCTCCTAAAAAGGGACAGTTAAGTGGTATGACAGCAGTCAAAGTGGCAAAGATTGTTTTTTTATGTTCCATATATTACACCTGCTTTTTTGATTCCGCACTAAATCACACAGGTCACTAGTTGTCTGCAATTCATATCATTAGTGAAATGAAATGACTTGGGGGAGAAAGACACAGATGACCATTTTGCTCTGCATTTTACTAGCAGAAGAAGGATATCATTAACGGTGAAAACATTTTCTATAACAGGTATTTTGACCTAAACTTTACAAACTTCCTTGTATTTAGTAAATACTCAATTTTCTTAGATAAACAGCCAAGTTATATCTTACAAGAGCCCACGGTAAATTTTCACATGTACACAGACCTAAATGAAAGTGTCTGCACCACGGTTTGTAAAGCAGCAAAGCCATTTTACAGAGAGGCTGCACTTACTTTGTAATCAGATGCTAGTATACCAGATGGATGGATCCAGTAATTACACAGTACACATTTATACAGAAAGGCAGCAGACATATTTATTTATAACATGCCAAGTCAGCAGATGTGCTCTTTTCAAACCAGAATTTATTTTATATGACATTTTCCCTTTAAGGCAATTCTGATATTCTGATAAAAGAGCCAAAATCAATTATTGTTCACCTCATAAAAAAAAAAGTTTAATTACCATGAGTTTGGGGTCCTTCTAGGTATGATTTCTTCATACAGGTATAACTGGTATAATAAACGCATACACGGAAAAGCATCACCAGTGACAAGAACTGCATTAAATGGCATAAAAAACACCTCCACACCTCCTGCTAGTCTACATACTCTTGTCAAGTGGGGTTGGCTGCTTCCCTCACCCCAAACGGAAAACAAATAGTCAACGTTAAATGTTCTACAGTTGTTGGGATGCTGCCACAATGGTGAGCACTGTGTAGATCAGGAACTGACATTCACAATCAAGAGCAGCTAATTTTACTGTATGGATCTAAATTTAACCCATAATGGAGGTTTATGATATTGGGCAATTCAGAACACGTACAGTGGATCGGATCAGAGTGGAACTGCTAAATAAGCAGAGAAAGACTCACCACTACAGCTTATGGTTTATCGAGAAATACATTTCCAGTTTTGTGAACAGAGCTGTACACTGTGATCAACCAACAAAGCATGGCCATCGTACCAGCTTTGGCTTTTCTCACAATGCCGGTCAGTGAAACTATGGATTTAAACAGCGTTAGCCTCCTTTTCTGACATCTGTGACTAGGAGCAGGCCAATGGCAACAGGGATTTTTTTTTCAAACGCGCACAAGAAGACCACAGGAAACTCACTTGCACTACAAACAATTCAGTGAGCAGAAGTTGTCATGGTGCCTGGAGTGTCCCTCAAACCATCTTACCATCAGTGAACCAAACAGACAAAGTCTGCGTTGTTCAATTTGTTTTTTTCTGCATACAGCAGAGGCATTGATATCTATGAATGTTTAATAAAAGTAAGAATTACATGTTATAGTTTGATTCTATTTAAAACAATTTGCACATTTATTGAATTTCTTCATTGTGTTTAGCAAAAAAAACATAAATAGCAATTTAAAGGCAAACTCTGGATTTCTCAAGAATTTCTGGAAGGCAGAATTGAAACAATAGAACGCTGTAGCGTTATATGTATTTCTAACGCTAAAGTGTTCCTCTAACTATTTAGACGTCCCTCCCCCTCCAATGCGGGTTTGAAAGGCGGGTATTCTTCCCGTGCTGATCTTGCTGTGGCCACTCTGTCTCTATGGCTGAGATCTCCATGACTGATGATCTCAGCCAATCCAATGCTTCTCTACAAGAAAGCACTGCGACTGTTGTGTGACTGCACAGCAAATCACCTTGCTGCACCAATCTAAGAGCAGCGTTTGACCAAGAACCAACAAATCAGTCTGTTCTCACACAGAAGTGCCTCGGGTGGCTGTCAGGAAAACAGCAACTAAATGTGTGTGTAACCCTGCAATGAAAACTTTGCAATTTCTACAAAACTGCAATGAATTACATTGTGGGGTTAAAACTAAAGGACCACTGCACCCACACTCCTTCATTAATGCAGTGAAGGGTCAGCTCACTGGCTGAGTGTGTCCCGCTCTCACAGCAGCAGGGAGTGGCACCAAGCAGACTGCAAGTAAGAAGCCAAACTGTAAGCAAATGGTTTAACTACTTACAGGGCACCATAACCACTACGACATGCATAAAATGGATAGACTAGAGAACACTTATGTGGTTCTTTAAGTTACTGTTGTAATCCAATACAAATGAAACAGTGTTCTAAAAAAATTGTAGAGGCAGACTTAAGTAGTAAAACATTTTTATGGGAAATTATATGATTAAAGCCCCGAGACTGGGGTGAAATAAGTTGTTTATTTTCCTGTGTATGGGCTTTAAAGACGTTTTTCATATGGCCCCAAAAAAGAATATAGGCCAAGGATACACATGAAAGGGTTAATGTTGGCAAGGAAAAGATGGTAGCTACTTGGGTTACCCACTGATCGTTCTCCAGCTGCTGCGCATTCTCTGCAGATTCAGCTAAAACCATGGGTGTCACCAACCATTCCACGCATACCACCTGCAAAAAAAGGCTAAAGATATTTCCCCCTCCAGCTGTTCAATTGCTGCTTAAAAGGTGTTGTCTTGACCCCTTCACTGGTTGTTTCCGTGGATTTAACACATAAACAAGGAATGTGTCACCTGGATCTCTACCAGTGGATGTAAATTTGCCTTTTAAAACTTGTCGCCTCTTTGGTAGTTCATTGAAAGCTTCTAAAACAACATGTTGTTTTGGGTGTCTGAAAGCAATCTTCTAAACGGACGAGCTGTTCGTGTATATTCTTGCCCCATTGATCCTGTATATTCTTGCCGTGCTGACTGTTCCCCTCGAGGCTATGAATTACTTTTAGTTCACATTCTCGCCTGTTATAGGTTTTTTTGTCTGATCAGCACTCTCGACATGAGCACATCTGCCAAATGCACACAGGACAGGAAGCTGGATGGAAAAACCAGCTCCTCATGCACTCAATATATTTACAGTCGGCAGCAAAATACAGTAGATGGACTATGTAACATACACACACACACACACACACACAAACGTCCTTATATCATACACACACGTGTTTTACTCATCATCACAAAAATTTTTCGAAAGATAATCTGTCTCCAACTGCCAACTCGTTTTGTTGTTACCCTCTCATGAGACGGACACGGCAAGCACTTCTTTCTAGTTAGAGACATTCCAATCACCGTATGATTCTTGCATGGCTTATGTGAGGATGTACTCTGTCCCTGTCTTTGTACATAAAGGGGGAAATTTATCAAGGCAAAACAAGTGCTGTTTTGAGTGCATAAAATTAGTGATGTCCCGAACGGTTCGCCGCGGACTCCAGTCAGCAGACACATTCCAGCCAATCAGCAGCAGACCCTCCCTCCCAGACCCTCCCACCTCCTGAACAGCTCACTAAGAATGCAGCTTCAAAACGGATGCTGTCCAGGAGGTGGGAGGATCTGGGAGGGAGGGTCTGCTGCTGATTGGCTGGAATGTGTCTACTGACTGGAGTCCGTGGCGAACCGTTCGGGACATCACTATGCATAATGCCAAGAGACATTCTATTGATTTCCATGGTGATTGGTCCTTTGTTTGTCCCTTATCCCAGGAAAACACCAGGTGAAATACCCTAGGTCAGGGGTAGGCAACCTTTTAGCAGCACTGTGCCGAAATATGATTGTCATGTTCCGTAGCGTGTCGGTCCTATTTCTTTAAATTGAGGTGTGCATGTTGCCATATTCTGCTTGTGTTATTTATACTGCAGTTGCTTTGTATCGTTGTATTTGTGCGTATATGAGATATTATATTGTATATGTTCATTAATAGTTTGTGGTATCATGTATAATACCTATGAATTTGGGCTGTGTATGGGGCTGCTTGTGGAATTGTGTGTGGATGGATAGGTCACATGTCACATTGTGTATTTGGTAGTGTGTGTATGTGTGGGGCTGTTTGGGGTATTGCATGTGAGAGGCTGCATGTGGGGTTGTGTGTATGTATGTATGTATGTGGATTGTTGGTGGTGGTGTGTTTGTGTGGACTGTATGTGTGTTTTGTGTGTGAGCTGTTTGCATTATTTGGATGGGGGGGGGGCTTCCCTGGGTTTTAGTGGGGACCAGGTTGGCCAGGTACAGCTCAAGGACAGAAGCTGCAATAGGAAGCTGTGGGCTGCTCTACTCCAGTGTGAATTCCCATTCACAAGTGCTGGGAAGAAGTGATCTGAGATCACTTCCTCTACGTGCTGCAATGCATAAATGGAGGATTGTCCTTCACCACCTTTTTGTATTAGAAGATATCTGATGTTTCACTGGGACTCCTGACAGGCCAAAGCCTGTTTGGCCCTTGAGTGCCATGCATGGCAATAGTGCCATAGGTTGCCTACCCCTGCACTAGGTGTATAACGATGGCTGTCAGAAACGCCAGATGGGAAATGTAGACAGGTGTTTTGTTTTTTTGTTTTTATTATTATTCTTTATTTAGGGTACACATTCAGCAGTACAGAGAATTTAAAGGCAGTTAAGCCTACAGTAACATATCATAAAAGCAGTAGCTTATCTAGAAAGGTGCACATTTGCTAAGAGAGATGTAATCCACCTGTGCAGCTCGATGTGTTATGTGTTAAGGAACAGAAAAAAGGATGGATAGTTAAGGGGGTGACCCAACACTTTATAGTCAGCTTAAGAAATAATATCGTGCCCTGTGCAGACTTTCCCTATACACCTGTCACTGTTTCCATTTTTTACACAAGTGTTTAAAAAAAAACAACAAAAAAAACATGTGCACCCATACACACACACCAAAACACACAATGTGACATATCATCTATACAATGCCCCAACATTAAAACCTCTGGTAGGTGAAGTGAATAACATTATATCGTTACAATGGCACCTGTCAAGATGCAGGGCATATTAGGCAATAAGTGAACAGTCAGTTCTTTAAATGCATGTGTTTGAAGCAGGAAAAATTGGCATGCAAAAAGATCTGGGTGATTTTGACAAGGGCCAAATATTGATGGCTAGATAAGTCAGAGCATCTCCAAAACAGCAAGTCTTGTGGGGTGTTCCCAGTATGGACAGTATGGACTACAAAAAGTGGTGCAAAGAAGGCCAACTGGTGAACCAGTGTCAGGGTCATGGGAGCCCAAGGCTCACTGATGTACATGGAGAGCTAAGGCTAACTTGTTCGGTCGGATGACACAGAAGAACTACTTTAGCTCAAATTGCTGAAAAACTTAATGCTGGCCATGGAAGAAAGGCATCAGAACACACAGCGCATCGCAGTTTGCCATGTATGGTTCGTGTGTAACCCCAGACTGGTCAATTCAGAGTGCACAAGATGACTCTTGTCCACCACTGAAAGCACTTTCAATGGGGACATGAGCGTTAGAATTGGACCATGGAGCAATAGAAGGTTTTCTGGTCTGATGAATCAATTTTTTTACATCATGGGGATGCCCGGATGTGTGTGTGTGTTGTTTACCTGAAGAAGAGATGGCAGCAGTATGCCTTATGGGAAGAAGGCAGGCCGGCAAAGGCAGTGTTGCGCTTGGTCAATGTTCTGCTGGGAAACCATTCATGTGGATTTTCCATTGACATGTACCACCTACCTAGAGATTGATGCATACCTCATATACCCCTTTATGGCAGTGATACCCCTTTATGGCAGTGTCCTCTTACAGCAGGATAATGCACCATGCCACTCTACAAAACTTGTTATTGAATGGTTTGAGGAACATGACATGGTTCAAGGTGTAACCTTGGCCGCCAAACTCCCCAAAACTCAATCTGATTGAGCATCTGTGGGATGTGCTGGAACAACAAATCCGATCTAGGTCCCATCTCACAACTTGCAGGACTTAAAGGATCTGCTGCTAATGTCAGATACCACGGGACATGTTCAAAGGTTTTGGGTAGTCCGTGCTCGACATATCAGAGCAGTTTTGGCAGCACAAGAGAGAACTACACGATACACGATATTATGTAGTTATAATGTCGTTTAAGGAAGGAGAGAAAGGTGGCGCCACAGAGATAATATATAAAATTAAATATAAGCAAGTAGTAATATTGAAATAAACAATGACATATAATACAGAGAGAGAACAATAAAAATAATATACAGTTGCAAGAAAAAGTATGTGAACCCTTTGGAATGATATGGATTTCTGCACAAATTGGTCATAAAATGTGATCTGATCATCATCTAAGTCACAACAATAGACAATCACAGTCTGCTTAAACTAATAACACACAAAGAATGAAATGTTGCCATGTTTTTATTGAACACACCATGTAAACATTCACAGTGCAGGTGGGAAAAGTATGTGAACCCCTAGACTAATGACATCTCTAAGAGCTAATTGGAGTGAGATGTCAGCCAACTGGAGTCCAATCAATGAGATGAGATTGGAGGTGTTGGTTACAGCTGCCCTGCCCTATAAAAAACACACACCAGTTCTGGGTTTGCTTTTCACAAGAAGCATTGCCTGATGTGAATGATGCCTCGCACAAAAGAGCTTTCAGAAGACCTACGATTAAGAATTGTTGACTTGCATAAAGCTGGAAAGGGTTATAAAAGTATCTCCAAAAGCCTTGCTGTTCATCAGTCCACAGTAAGACAAATTGTCTATAAATGGAGAAAGTTCAGCACTGCTGCTACTCTCCCTAGGAGTGGCCGTCCTGTAAAGTTGACTGCAAGAGCACAGCGCAGACTGCTCAATGAGGTGAAGAAGAATCCTAGAGTGTCAGCTAAAGACTTACAAAAGTCACTGGCAAATGCTAACATCCCTGTTAGCGAATCTACAATACGTAAAACACTAAACAAGAATGGATTTCATGGGAGGATACCACAGAGGAAGCCACTGCTGTCCAAACAAAACATTGCTGCACGTTTACAGTTTGCACAAGAGCACCTGGATGTTCCACAGTAGTACTGGCAAAATATTCTGTGGACAGATGAAACCAAAGTTGAGTTGTTTGGAAGAAACACACAACAATATGTGTGGCGAAAAAAAGGCACAGCACACCAACATCAAAACCTCATCCCAACTGTGAAGTATGGTGGTGGGGGCATCATGGTTTGGGGCTGCTTTGCTCCATCAGGGCCTGGCCGGATTGCAATCATAAAAGGAAAAATGAATTCCCAAGTTTATCAAGACATTTTGCAGGAGAACTTAAGGCCATCTATCTACCAGCTGAAGCTCAACAGAAGATGGGTGTTGCAACAGGACAATGACACAAAGCATAGAAGTAAATCAACAACAGAATGGCTTAGACAGAAGAAAATACGCCTTCTGAAGTGGCCCAGTCAGAGTCCTGACCTCAACCTGATTGAGATGCTGTGGCTTGACCTCAAGAAAGAGATTCACATCAGACATCCCAAGAATATTGCTGAACTGAAACAGTTCTGTAAAGAGGAATGGTCAAGAATTACTCCTTACTGTTGTGCACGTCTGATCTGCAACTACAGGAAACGTTTGGTTGAAGTTATTGCTGCCAAAGGAGGTTCAACCAGTTATTAAATCCAAGGGTTCACATACTTTTCCCACCTGCACTGAGAATGCTTACATGGTGTGTTCAATAAAAACATGGCAACATTTCATTCTTTGTGTGTTATTAGTTTAAGCAGACTGTGATTGTCTATTGTTGTGACTTTTATGATGATCACATTTTATGACCAATTTGTGCAGAAATCCATATTATTCCAAAGGGTTCACATACTTTTTCTTGCAACTGTATATATAAAGAACAGTCCAAAAAGAGTTCAGTAAAACCTTTGGATGAGAGAACAATCACAGTTCTATCTGAGGTAGAGACGTCTATGGAGTAATGAGATCGAGGGGTTCGTGGGATTAGTATGAAAGAGAAAAGAAAAACTAATAGTGCAATAAAACCCAAATAGGTAGCAGTCGATAAAAGAGGTCTATATGGTTCTACTCACGTTTTTTGAGAGCTTAAAACTAGCTCTAGTATAAACAGCATACAGTGGTATAATCCACACTTATGGGATACGTGAGGGAGTGTTGTAAGTAGATATCTCATCAGATGATGAACAATAGTGCTTACTGTGATAAAACCAGGAGAGTGTATAAAAATACCAAATGGTTATTCACAATTAATTGGGAAGACGCACTGCTCAATGATAGGGCGTAAGTGGTATAATTCCCACCAAGAATGCTTTGGAGTATTATCTCTCTGGAACAAGTAAAACTTAGATGCCAGGTAGTAAAATAGCAAAAATGGTAAAAAAAAAAAAAGATAGAATGGCTAACTCACAAAAGAGAAAGTGGCCAAAATACCTTTATTAAAATAGTTAAAATTTTCGCAGTGCATTTCTCCCCTTAGGGCTCAAGTGGTGCCATTAATAATATTATTTACAGTTCATTTACTGTATAAAAAACAAACACCAAATAAACGGATTAGGTCAATACTGTATTATATGTTTGTTTGTTTTTTAAAAGGAGGGAAAAAAATATGAAAACATGTTAAAATTGGTATGCAAATAACAGGGCTTACATCTGTATTTCTCAAATCTTCACAGTTGGGGCCTTATATACTAAACTGTGAATAGTGGTGAATTAAAAATGACATTTACAATTCGGGTAGCTTTGGCTCTCGTTTTGTAAATGCTATTATAAGTTCCCTATGGGGATATATTCTCCAAACTGTTTCAATCTAAAATAACCTTCATGTGGCTGGAATTGAGATAGAGAATTTTTCCACACCATGTATTTTTACAATTTGGATCTTCCTGTGCTGGAATTCGGAGTTTAGTGAATAATAAAGTAGTGTAAACCAACGCCTTCCATTCAGCTCCCTCTTTCTATTTCTCTTCATTTGAGGAATAAAAAAAGAAAGGAAAAAATAAAATAAAAAGAAGAGTGAGTGAGTGTCTAGTTCCCAAGGAAACAGGGCAGTTCAAGGAATCCTGTGAAAGGCTGAAACGATGGGCATTCTGTAATCTTTTCAATGTATTTTAGGGCCTTGTATGCTTTTTCAGGGACACTTATCAGGGCTGAAATTCCACTCATCAATGGCCAGTGGACATTTTGACCCCAATCTGTAGAATAAATATACAATTTTTTTATAAATTACAAAAGGCATTTCAAAGTACAAAAATATGTAGTTAGCCTTTTATTTCCATCTAGAGGACATGCATGCAGTGCTGCCCATAATGTGTATACACATTTTACATACAATGCCCAGATCGGTTTTAATAAGCCCCCCTTCAATGTTAATGCTGTAGCTCAGCTGAAGGAGTGCACGTATGCAGATAGGACTGACTGTTTGCATCGTCAGCTCTTTTCTATGATGTTTTGGCACACAGGTGATGTATACGCTAGAGAGGCAGGGATATTTTTTGATGCTATGCTGCCAATCTCTCCATGACCACAGTACTGCAACACTTTACCAAGAGTAAAAATAGAATAATGACACTATAAAATCGCTAAAATGTTATAGATTTGAGGGGGTGGAAGGGGAGGGGAATGGGAAAATAAATCTAAACCACCTTAACTTGTTAATCAGTATTCCTAACTAGGTGGATCAAAAAATAGAAATATATCTAATAGGCCACTTCACACCATGTTGTACCCTCTCACCAACACCACATAACAAACCTCTATAAACACATACAAACAAGGGTGGAGCACCAACAGAACATCTGTTTTCTTTCAAGGTATTGCTTTCTGGATATCAGAAATATCTAATAGTGAAGTACAGTTAGAATATAGGATATTATACACATTGTACAATACTAAAACAATAGAAACTCAAGGAATTTGCTTGTCAGAGTATGAGTTATTTTAGTGACTGCATCTTATGGACTTTGAATACTTTCATTGGAACTATTGAGTTATAGTTTGTATTTATTTCAATTTATTTTTTTTAATAAATTATTTTTTTCTCTTTGGGTATACTTTTTCACCACTTGGTAGATTGTGGACTTTTTCATTGTTGGTTTGGGGCAGCTCTTTTCCTGTCCATCCCTAAATTATCTGCATGCACCTTCTAACATTTCCTTTACATTTATTTTATTACCTTTTAGAGTTCTCACTCCATTTCTGGTGTTTTTAGGATTAATCATCCTTAAAGTTTACATTACTATCCCAAGCTATATATGAGGGCTTATTTAACCAGTTGAGACAAGTGTGAGTTTGGGCTATAGTATATACCCAGTTCACTCCCTGGTTTGCCACTCGAATCTTGGATAGATTTTTATTCTGTCCTCAATATATATTTATGAGTGTATTTGTGTTTGTAATTCTTTGAGCATGTTCCCATATTAGTGCACTTTATGTATGTGTGTCTCTGTGCACATGTATTTCTATCTGGAAATGCCTGTCTGTAATGTGAAAGTGTCTCTATGAATATGTACCACTGTGCATTAATTAGTCTGTGTCTATGTGTGTCGGTTATTACGTGACTGTCTGTGTCAATGACTTTGCATGCATACCTCTGTGCATGTGTTTCTGTCTGCATGGCTGTGTATGTGTTGCTGACCTTGCCTGTATGTGTGACTCCATATATGGGTGTTGGCAGCATGCCACTCTCACAGAATCTCTGTGCATATGCATGTTTCTATCTGTATTTGTGTCTCTATGTATGTCCATGAATTTGTCTTTATGATTCTATCTGTTCATGACTGTTTCTATGGGGATGGACACAGGAGAGGGCAGGTAAAGTTCTGGTGCACCAAGCTTTGGAAAGGGCTGAAGTACTTTTGTACTCTAACAATGCTCAGGACGCACATCAAAGGTATACAGAATTTTAGTTCAAGGGATACTATAGGCACCCAAACAATTTTATCTCAAAGTGGCCTGTGTGCCATGTCCTTTGTGTGTTTTTTTTTGTCATCACAATGTAAAACATTGCCATTGTGCAGGACCTCAATGGTTACATTGCAGTGGGTGAATGCCTCTAGTGGCTGTCACTCAAAGAGCTACTAGAGGGGCTTAGGAAAAAATATCGGAATAAAATGCGGACAACCATCTGATTGATCATACTAGTCTCCCATTGCTTTCCTATGGGAAAGCATTAGATTGGCTAAGAGCCTGTATCTCAATGATCTTAGTGAAGGAGGCGGGACAGCAACACAGAGATCGACACTGCAAGAGAGAGAAAAGATACATACAACAGCATCAAGGAGGGACCTAAACTTTTAACAGAGCACTAGAGTGTTCGTAATTCACACATATGTATTCCAAGGCTCTAGTGTTCTTTTCAGCTTACAAAAGTAAAACCTTGGCAACTAAAGTTTCCAGATATCCTACTTGCATAATGCCCAGCTGTGGCCGAATACCTTCTGTACGTGTTGCTTACTCAAAGGAGGAGAATTAAAGGAACACTATACACCCAGTAAGGAGTTGAAGGGGAACTTTACTTACCTTTTCTCACCTTTTCTCCACCGCCACTCTGGTCTTGCCCCACCTCCATGGCTGAGATCATCAATCTTGATGATCTCACCCAGTCCAATGCTTTCCCATAGGAAAATCAATGAGAATGAAATAATCTCTAAGGGTAGCATTCAGCAACTCCATGCAGAACGTGGAGACACTGAACAAAGGACTAAGAAGCACCTTAAGCCATTTTAGTGACTGCCACTAGAGGTGGTACTATGCAGCAATGTCAACACTGTCTTTTCTCTGTGCTAAGACAGTAGGGGTATGCTATAGACCAGAAAAAACACTACATTAAGTTGTAGTAGTTCTGGTGACTATAGTGTCCCTTTAAATGTACTGAAACTGCAGAAACTTCAATTGGGAGTATTTTTGTCTTATTTGGGATTTTTTGGTTTTGCATATTGCTAATGCAAGATCTAAACAATGGGTGAATTCTAGCTTGAGTGTCACTAACAAAACAAAAAAAAAGGGTAAATTTATAAAATAAATACATAATACATTCTATAATGGCTTGCAGTTCCAGGAGATTTAGAGGGCTATTTTTGTATTTAAACACAAAACATTTATTTTACTCTGTAAAATTTGTATTTCTAACAGGCCGAAATGTTTGACTGAGCACGCATGAGCAGCTAGCATGCCTTAATTACACTGCAGTGCGCGTTGCTACGCAAGATGGGGAGAAGAAAAGATCCTCTTTATTTTCAAGCGTCATCAGTCAAAGAACCTAGCTTTGCTGCGCCAGCAGGCGGCTAAATTCCGAGGTTTCCCAGTGAACAGTCACTAGCATTCAAAGCTGTCTTTGTAACAACGGCTGGCTCAGATTTTCCAGTTTCATAGTAATCAACCCTTGTGCCCAATTTAAAGGGTAGTGTCCCTTGAATAACAAACTTTGTTTTATAACAGAATTTTTAAATGCCATTTTTCCAAGAAACAGAGTATAAAACTGAACAAACCTCTAACTCCATCAATATATCTTTTACAAAAACTTTATTCACAACAGTTAAAGAAAGGCATCATTTTACAAGTGTGTATAAAAGCCGGTTTATTCAACTAAACTGTACAAGTTTTTTCTTTTTCTTTCTATGAGACCTGTAGACTAGAGTAACACACCGAAACCCAATAAGATGAAAGAAAAAAAACAAACATGTTGCCAAAAGTTGGACTTTTTTGTGGATTGGCAGACTGCCCCATCTATTGCTACAGCTGAACTAACCCTCTTATCAGTCTCAGATGGGTCCAAGTTTGCTAATTCTGGATCACCAATCCAAATATTCTCATAAGGGTGGATTTGAAGCTTGCCAACGCCAAAATAGTTTATTTTTATTTATTTTTTATACATTTAACATATTATTAGGATAAAACAAGAAATTCTGGACATCTATAAGGTAGGGGACGATAACAAAGGCTTTTAAACGGCCTACACACTATTTATTGCAACCTGGCCTACAGAGTAAAGCAGTTATTACGGAAAAACTGTCCTCAACAGCTCACGTGCCAGCAGTTTTAAAATGAACATATATGCCCTATGACACTAATGGAAAAAATGCTGCACATTGCGGTGCTGTGTCGCCCTATCCCCCAATGCCTATTGTATAGTAATAGTAAGTAGCTCAATCTGAGATAAAATACAGCAGGTAGGATATCATGTCCTCTCCACATACACACAGCATGGTAACAGAGGATTTATTTTCTGCGGCACTTTTAGTGCCACTAGGGCTGGACTCATCTCATACTTTTGTGAGGTATAAATCCCCTGTTGGCCCTGTGAATCCTTGTTCAGCATTATAAAATCATCCATGCAAATGACATGAGGGTTGAGAAAATTATTATACTAGTGAACTCCCTGCTTTAAGCGTAATCAGTTTGCTTAATTTCCAAAAATTCTCACAACATTTGTGCAGGTGGTCTAACAAACAGCCATGAACATCTCGTCATAATACTGCATCTTTCGATCCTATCATATTTGTACATTCACCCCCTCTTTGCTGGCCTTTCCCTTTATATTATATTGCTGGCACAACCTATATTATACGTTGCTGCAGTGGGTGGCAAAGACTTGCTTTGATCGCACTGTCAGGATGAGTCCAGATGGCTTGGCTGCTGTCACGAGCAGTCCATACTGCTTACTCCCCGGCAAGTTGTCATGGTAACAACAGATAAAGGGCCAACATCCCTAACCATGTGTTTATTTGCACACTGCAAGTGTAGGGATTTCCTAATGAAGAGAACAGGACACCTATGTTGTGTCAGGTGGTCGACAGCGACAATGTCAATAAAAAGTGCCACAAGTCAGCAAAATGTATGGATACAGAGAAGTTATTGATACCAAAAAGTATTCTGGTCAGGTTTAATAGCTGTCAAGCAGACGACCTTCGGAATCTGGATAAACAAAACCAAAGCATGGGAATTCTTAAAGCATATAGGCTCTCTCCTTTTTATTTACCGCTGTAATGCGAGTTCTCAGATATGTTAACTACAAGGTCACCTTCTAGCATGTATACCTGTAATCTATACACTGTGCTCAGTCCTGGATTAAGGGTCTCACTGGCCTAGAGCGGAGGATTAAAGAGAGCCTGATACTATGGGATTTTGAATATAGAAACACTGTTTAATGTGTTTTAAATTTATTTCTGTTTCACAACTGATCCGTGCATGTCCTTCATTAGCATTTACTGGGTGCGGAAAACTAAACCAGCTAAAAATAACAGTTTCTCTTAATGTTTATTACATAAAATGTAACTTTTACTTATTCATTAGAAACAGAGGTTAAATCACAATATGGTTATTATGAAGGGCATGCACAATGTAGATTTAAAGATACAGGACACTTGACCCCTGTACAGACAGTGTCTGTGCTTTACATTAAGCAGTCAAGAGGACCCTAAAGTCACATACTGTTACTCTCTGCTAACCCCAGCGATAGACTCTGTTTGATGAGCAACTAATAAAAGAGACCTTTTCTAGGTTTCATGTTCCCAATGCTATGGTGGTAGACACGAGAGACAGCCAATTGACACCTTGCTGACAGATTCTGTGTCGACAGCCACTGCTGACTGGCAGGGATGCACAAAGCTACTGAATGACCATGCCACCCACATGTGTAAAATGTCATGTACGGCAGGCACATTTATCCATACATTGCACTGCCCCAGGCACACATGCATTTAAAAGCAGAACTGACATTTCTAGGGCTTTTTGCATAACTTTATAACGAGCTGAAAGGGAGCTATTGAGTTGGGCTACTTTAAATTTTATATAGCTTTTTTTTCCCAGTTGCCTAGACACAGGCATAATGTTTCAGTATGTCTTGATACAGCCAGGTAATAGGATGAACGTTAACTTTGATCCAGATAGATTCACACCCCTAGCAAGGTGAGGGTGCATGAGAGTTTACAGCACTTTGCAGACAGTGCCTGAGTGAGGATGAGACTCCTGGTGTAGAATGAAAATAATAATTTGCTGAAGAGAGGGGAGACTGGAGTGGCAAACCATGATATATGCGTGTAAAAAAAAAACCAAACAAATAATTTCAAGAGCAACATCCGCCGGTGGGGGAGACCTAATGTGCATGCGCAGCAATGGCAGCACTTGTCTTAGGATCTCCCTATAGGAAAGCGTTATTCAATGCTTTCCTATGGGGATTCCGGCAATGCTGGAGGTCCTCGTGCATAGCGAGAGTACGTCCAGCGTCATTTAGATGACCAAAAGTCTGGTAGACAGCTACTAGAGGAGGACTTAACCCTGCACGGTAATTAATGCAGTTTATAAAAACTGCAATAATTACACTTGCAGGGTTAAGGGTGATGGAAGTTGGCACCCAGACCACATCAATTAGTTGAAGTGGTGTGGGTGCCTACAGTGTCCCTTTAATGATATTACAGGTTCCAGCCTAGCATGTGCGGCTAGAACCGGGTTGACACACTAGAGTCAGTCTGAGGCTCATGATAATATGAGTAAGATATTACACCACGGGATTGGCATCTACACTGCAGAGACACTGGAGAGACATACAAAAAGGAGATTGTTGTTAGTTGCAAATGTAGAATTGTCCTTTCCTATAATTGTAATACGATGTTGATTTATCATCTATATGTTTAACAAATATGTGTTTTTGAAAAAAAGAGAAAAAAACAAAGTAGAAATCCACACCTTACCTCTGTGCTAGAACTGAGTGCCTCCATCATAGCTCCCTGTCAATCATTGTAATAGGCTCTGTCCTTTGCACCTGGCAGTGCAAAGGACAGAGAAACAAGCAATATTTATTTGCCCTCCACAAATGTACCCTGGCTGTGCCTGGACTGAACTTGATTGTGAACTCAACTGGTAAATCATTAATACATATTTAAAAGAAAATGGAGCCTTATTATGAAAAAGGTTAACACTAATGTAGGTGATTTTCAATATTTTATTCCATGGTATCATTTTCTGAGAAGCAACAGTTTGCATATTTTTTTAAAAGGACACTACTACAAAACAACTTTAGATTAATGAAGCAGTTTTTGTGTATAGATCATGCCCCAACAGTCCCACTGCTCAATTCTCTGCCATTTAGGAGTTAAATCACTTCAGTTTCGCTTTTGCAGTCTTAGCCCCACCTCCCCTGGCTGTGCCTCACAGCCTGCATATAAAAAAAAAAATTATTTTAAAATGTTAACTTGCTTTAGAATTTTTTAATCTCCTGCCTTGTAAATTAAACTTTTATCACATACAGGAGGTACTTAAAGGGACACTCCAGGCACCCAGACCATTGCATGGTTAACTCCTCCTCTAGTGGCTGTCTACTAGACAGCCACTAGAGGGCACTTCCAGGTTTATAGCACAGATTTTCTGTGCTATAGTGTTGCTGGACGTCCTCACGCTATGGGATGGGTGGTGGGAGGGAGAGGGGACCTGCAGTGCCAGGAAAACTGATTGTTTTCCAGGCACTGGAGTGTCCCTTTAACAGAGAAGGAGGTGAGAAATTCAAAATTACACAGGCTATGTAATAAAGGAAGTGTAAACATTAGATCTCACTTTAAAGGATGTGTTAAGGAAGCCTGTGTAAGTCACATGCAGGGAAGTGTGACTAGGGCTGTGTAAATAAAATGATTTAACTACTAAATGGCAGAGAATTAAGCAGTGAGATGACAAGGGCATGATTGATACACCAAAACTGCTTAATGAAGCTGAAGTTGTTTTGGTGCCTATAGTGTCCCTTTAAGTTAGTCTAATATCAGCTCTTGTTTTCATAATCACATTTAAAGTTTTTTTAGTCTGATAGAACAGATTATTTCATGTCAGCAATAAACCAGCGTGAAAACATTTCCTGTGCATTTTTGCAAAACCAAGGATCTAATGGTGTTGATATTCATATTCTTTACAGGCAACATTAAATAAAAAAATACGCCAATACATCTGTAATCGTATAAAGATCTTCAAAATGACTCATACTACTAAATAATAATTGCTACACAAAGACTAAAGAAAGAAGCAAAAAAATTACATTAAAAAATAAATAAAGGGAAAACGTATATAAGAGATAAGCTATTGAGAATACACACACTGCAATAGTTGCCCATTAAAGGCACCAAGCATATCAAACCATTTGCAAATAAGATTCACTCGTAAAGGCAGAGCAGATCCACAATACACTTCAGCCGGTCATAAAGGCACTAGAAAGTATACTTGGCAACAACGCATTAGATTTACTGTCTGGGTTTCTCATCTATTACTTTGTTGATATTGGTACGTGGCCTCAGTTGAACTGGATAGCAGAAACATATTTGTCTTGACTCCTCAGTTATGAATAGTTAGACATTATTTGAAGCATATATACTCAGTCATAAAACAAATAAATGAATATATCAGAATTTCAGGTTGTTGCAGTCTCACTGCTCGATTCTATTCCATTTAGGAATCACTTTGTTTGGGCAGCCCTAGGCACACCTCCCTACATGTGACTTACCCAGCCTTCCTAAACACTTCCTGTAAAGATTCATCTAATGTTTACATTTTATTGCAAATTATTTAGAATTTATGATCTCTTTCATGCAGGCCGAGTTAGCCACAGCCAGGGGAGGTATGGCTAAGGCTGCACATGCAGAAACAAAAGTGATTTAACTCTTAAATGGCAGAGAATTGAGCAGTGAGAATTCAGAGTCATGATTTATTCAGTTGTTTTAGTGACTCTAGTGTCCGTTTCACGATTTAAGAGGGGCCCAATAATGTAAACAGTTAGGAAAACACTCTAATGTTAGGAATACAAATTTGTTCTCCTAACTTTAGTGTTCCTGTAATAAATGGCAGGCAAACAACGATCATTCAAAAAATAAAAAATAACTGGGAAAGAGAACTGCATACAAATGTAACAATTATAGAGGCTCATCGGCCCTCTCAGGACTGCTTAAAATTGTGTTTCATAAATGCCAATACATGTTTGAAGACCCTGAGGTAGAGACCTAATCACACATTGTAACACTGTAGAGTATCATAACATTAAGAAACAATTTAATGACCAGTATTGACAAATGTAAGAATGTTTCCTTTGTGTGGAAACTGTGGTACAGTTATATTATAATTATACAGCATATTAACAAAAGTTAAGTCTTGTATATGTGTTAAGTTTTTTTTCTGAAGGAGTACATAATGTGTTTATCATTTGGCTTGGTTTTCCTTTTCTATGCTTTGATGATATAAAACTGTGTGACTATCTCTAACTGGATGTAGTCTTGTTTTCTAAATCTTACAATCATCAATCCCAACATAACAAAACACTATTTCTTCACCCTACTTCTCATTCTAACTAGTGTCCCATATTACTCCTCCAATTCCCTTCCAAGATTCTTGAGTGACTTGTGTTTACCAGTCTAACTCACTTTCTCAATACTTCAACTCCCTTTTTGACCCTCTACATCAAGCATTTCAAACCCGTGGTTCACAATGAATATGTTTGAGGCCCGGTGAGCTGCAAGTTTGACATGCTTACCAAGGCAGAGTAGACCTGCTCTCCCCACATTGCAGGTGCCTACTTTGCTAAAATTTACCCAGTCCGGGAGGAGAGGTCGCTGGCGGCAGCGAGGGAGCTCAGCCTTCCTGCTCCTCACTGCTCCCTTGCGTGAGCCCTCTGTAGTGATTCTGGGTGACGGAACATGACGTCATTCCGGCATCACTAAACTGCGCGGGTGAGGGAGCAGTGAGGAGACCTCCCAAGAGAAGAACCTCACTGGACTCCAGGGAGAGGCCCCACACCAGCTCCCAAAGGTAGGGGAAAATAAAAATAATAAAATAAAAAATAAAATTACATGAGTGTATGCAAGAATGTGTAAATGTGTGTGTGTACATCTGTCAGTGAGTGTGTGTCTGTCAGAGTGTGTATGTTGGTCAGTGTTGCGATGGCCGCGGCTGGACAGTGGAGGGCCTGGAGGTGCACGCAGGCACGCAACGCCACAATCCAACGTGACATCATTGTGCTCCACCTTCACAGGGTTTCAAAGAGTAGCGGGAGGATCCGCTTTGGCACAGGGTGCGGACGGCACCATTGGGGGTATACCAGAGGCTGGACTCCGAAGTCGCATATCGGCAACAGCAATGTGAGTGGAGTCTCCTTGTTGGCTAATATTGTTTGTTTTTTAAACAAGGGCTGGAGTTTAGTAGAGGGGGGTGTTGGGATTTAGTATAGAGGGTGGGGGGCTGTGAATTAGTATGGGGGGACTGGGAATTAGAATAGGGGGGGGACTGGGATTTAGTATAGAGGTGGGTTGCTGTTTTTATACTGTACTTTTCAAAACCTACGTTTCTATGAAAATTTAAGTTTGGGGTTTTTTTCTGCAGCCCACATAATCTTAACCTTTGTTTATTTGGCTGGCTAGCCTTTGAGTTTGACATGCTTGCTCTACATTCTGGCCTTTGCTCCCATCCTTCTATTGAAAATCTACTTACTAAAGTGACTAATGACTTAATCTCTGCTAGCCATTACTCTCTTAATTTTACTCGACCCCCCTGCTATTTTTAAACTGTAGACTATTTTTTTTTCTTGAAATACTCTACAATCTTGGACTCCTTGCACTGTACTTTCCTACTTTTCATTGTTTCTTTCTGAATGCTCATTTAGTGACTTCTTCTCTGTGCCACCCAGTCACCACTGCCTGTCTTAGTTTTACCCAAGGCTCTGCTCTTGGTCCTCTTGTATTCTAAATTTACACTGCATCTCTCAATAACATTATTAACACTTTTGGATTTCAATGCCATCTATATGCAGACAATGCTCAAATTTACCTCTCCACCCCTAACCTCTCTCACCTGCACTTGTGGAACGTGCCACAAATTTCCTCTCTTCCATCTTGAGCGTTTTTTTCCCCATTTTCTAAAATGTAAAGGAGCCTTATAGAGTCAGTAATACAAATATGTATTCCTGACACTAGAGTCATGAGTGGCTGTTGCCCTCCGATAGCAGTAAAAAGATGATTTTTTTTTTCCCCACACTGTTCTCGCTGCTGTTAGCTCTGCTGATGATCTCAGCCAATCCAATGCTTTCCCATAGGAAAACATTGGGAGGGTATTGTGTTTGGTGGCAAAATGCCATGCTGTGCCAATCAGCATCTCCTTATAGAGATGCCTTGAATCAATGCATCTCTATAAGGAAAGTTCAGCATCTCCATGCAGATCGTCAGCCAGGATGATCCTCTATTTGCAGTCTGATTGACTGCCACCGGAGGTGTCCCTAGGGAGAAATGTAAACACTGCCTTTTATCTGAAAAGAGAAGCCAAGAGAAGCTGTGCAGCACTGCTCCAGGAAGCACCTCTAGTAGCTGTCTGATTAAAAGCCACTCAAAGTGTTACTAGGCAACAATGTAAACACTGCCTTTTCTCTCTGAAAAATCAGTGTTTACAGTGCTAACACTGCAGTATTACTATAGGCACTAGACCCCAGAATTACTACATTAAGCTATAGTGGGGTTCTAGTGCCTATAGTGTCCCCTTAATCTTTCCAAAACTAAATCCGCCCCGCTTTATCAAATAGTCCACCTCCATCTATCATCCTATGTGTTACTGGAACACCTATTACCAACTCCTCAAGCTTGCGGTTTTGGAGTTCATTTTGACTTAGGTCTCACCTTTTCTCCGCACATCCAGTTTGTCTAGAAATCTTGTAACTTCCATCTTAAAAATATTGCCTAAATTCGCCCTTTTCTAACTCGAGATATAACAAAAGGCCCTTATTTATGCACTCTTCATTCCATTACATTGGCTTTATGTACCCTTCAGGATCGCACAATAACCTACAAAGCCCTTCCTCTTCACTCAACAAATACACCCCTCCTTGTTCCCTTCAATCTGCAAGCAGCCTTCTCCTGTCACACTGCTCTCATATGTAGGATTTTTCAAGGGCTGCCCCGTTCCTATGGAAATCCCTACCGAGTGCCATCAGACTCTCCCCTAGCATCCAGTCGTGTGAGAAGTCACTGAAAACGCATCTCTTTAGGAAAGCCTACCATCTTCCTTGGTGATGCTCCTTTCGATACAACTGTCCTCCTCGGTTCCCTCACTTCCATAGCCCAGCTTACTCTCTCTTCTGGCACTATTTGGTTCTTCAAAACACTACTTTTACCAGCGTATTTGACACAGGCATCTTTTCATTCAGTCCCTCCTCCCCATACATGCTGTTCTTTCTCCTATGTGTCTTTACCCCTTTCTCATAGAGTGTAAGCTTGCTTGAGCAGGGTCAGCTTCACCTCTTGTCTCTGTAATATTCTGTAAGTAAATTACTTGTTAAATATTCCCATTCTATAATTGTAAAGTATTGCTGAATATGTTGGCACTAAATAAATGCTGATATTAATAATAATGGAAGAAGCTAGGTGGCTATGGTTTGCACAATGCTACAGAGGTAAAGGTAACTTTGGGAGCAACAAAGTAACTCCCATCTCAGTCTCCAAGACTTAAAGGCTGGCCAAACCCTTTTTTGATTAAGAGATCTGCACAACCGTCCACTTATCTTGTCAATCTCAGAACCACACCTTTACATTCTCCTACGTGTATTAGATTGTACGCAACCTTTTCTATTCCTCTTTCTGGTTGAATTCTTTAATATTAAACAGCCATAAGAATAGTTATAACATCAAAGACGGATAGGGGAGCACACAATAAAAATAAATTAAAAAATTAAAAACTGTTTTACTTTTATGCATAGATAGGACGTTAAAAGAACAGCATTTTGTCATGTGCAATCGTTTCACATATGTACATAGGGACAACAGCAACTATGCCAAAAAAGGTAACAGTAGCTTGGCAGAGTCACATAATCCCCCAAGTAACACCCTAGTGCTAATACCATGCATGGTGCTCATGCCATACAAATATTTGGACAGATAACAAAAAAGCTTTTCATTAGTGGGTCTCTAGCTGAGGATACTAGAGTGTTCTTAGGGTACTAGAGAATTCAAATTTTTTTGGTCAACTGCATAAAAAGTGTTTGACAAAAACAAACAAAAACAGAGTAGCCTCCTAGCACCATAATAAACACAATAAGTTGCAGTGATTATGGTGCTTGGAGTCTTCCTTTGACACAAGGTCTTAATATACCAGCCTTACCATCTGGATGGGCTTCTTCCGTAGGTCCCGTTCAGTAACCAACTTCTCCCCGTCCGTGACATACAACCCACGCTGAGCCAGGGCTTGAATGACAGCATCATGTCCCAGAAGAGGTTTGGCAGTATCACTTTTCAAGATAAGACTTCCAGCCCGGCAGTACAAGTCGGCAGATAGCAGTAGGTTAAGCACTGGAGGCTTCATGTGTTCCTGGTCATACTGATCTGTATAGAAGGGCTCTTGAAGCTCCACTGGAACATTCTCTGTGTGGGAGGTGTATGGATATATATCAGTGGTATGGCCAGCTTTTAATTTCATTTCATGCATTATTTTGCTTAAGCAAATTATAAATGGCACAGAAAAGAGAAATGACACTTTTACCTGTTACACATATAAATATTACCTTGTATATCCTTGTACATGCAAAGGCAGGGTTTATAGAAAAAAAGTGTGCATGGGCTGAATATACTCACCAGAACAAATATATTAAGTTGTAGTTGTTCTGGTGACTATATTGTCCATAACATTAGGAGGTAGTTTCTAACATATATGGTTACAAAAAAAAAAAAAAAATACTGTATGGGGAGAAATTTTTGGACCCATGTTATATGCTTATATTCTACAAAAACATATATTGATTTTTTACAAAAACCTGTGGAGTTGAAAAATTAAACGAAACCCAAATCCTGTGTGTGAGTGTGTAGAACTGGTAGCACACATATTACAGGCATTAAAATCGTAATTGTTGCTTTAACTAAGGTCACCACAACCATAAAGTGTGCCAATGAGCTACTCTGCTAGGTCCAAACATGTTGACGTGTGTGATCATGCTCCATTGCACAGTCAGCCAACTACAGTTACAATGGATTATCTATCACATTCCCATATGATTCCCAGCACTGACCAATCAACAACCACACTGTTTTCATTCAGTCTTTATATCTAGTTTGTATGGTGGCATGTTACCATGTAATCCAATTACAGATAACCTGGGCATATTTCCATACCGAGTTAGGATGGACATTTCCTATTTTCGGCCCAAATCAGTCTGTCCCTCTTTTCATTGAGCTCCATATTTTTGGTGTGTCTGACAAAGTTGAATCTGAATCTGTACACTCATTGCACCATGTACAAAGAACAGCAGTGAAACACAGTTGGCCTCCGAACAGATACACAGCAGTAATACATTTAAATGAAAACCTTTCAAACCAACATATATTATAGGGGTACATTACTAGCTTTTTCCAAATATGCTTTACAATTTCAAAGTAAAACTTTCAACTGACGAAAATTTAAAATTTGATACAAATCTAGCTGAACTGAAAACAAATGGAAACGGTTGATTTGAAGGTACTATGACATTCTAATAGCTACCATGAACGTAGCTACTAGCTATGTGTGTTTTTTTTCTTATTTAAAAAAAAACATTTGTGTGAACTTAAAATGTCAGCTCTGGAAAAGGTAAAATATCCCACAATGCATTGTGAGAATACAGGAAGCCATGGGAAAATTATTCTGATATACAATTTCCTAGCATTCAGATAAACTATTTTACAGCCAAGGTATTTTTTTTCCCCCCTAATTAAACCTCTAGTCTGTAAGATCCTTCAACAGCTAACGAATATAAAACAAATGATACAAACAATTAGGTAACAGTTCTTCTTTACAATAAATTGTATCGGATAACCACTGGAAATTCCTGAAGGACAGTCAACGGATACCCATACCATGGGTTAAGAAAACTGGGAAACTGAAGAGTTCATCCCTATTAGAAAATAACTACAAGCAAATCCATCATTAGTACCCAGAAACCGTGCTATTGTTACCCATATTTTAACACACTTTACGTAGTAACATAATACTCAGAAGATATATCGATGGCAGATAAATCAGTGTAGCAGTGTGCCAACCCAATCTTCTAGAATTCTTCAAATATATTCCTCCTTAACACCTATCCTGGAAGGCCAATAGTGAATATACAAATGTGGAACAAATGTTCCAAAAGTAATACAGAGTGGAGTATGTACAACTTTAATGGTGTCACAACTCTTTTACTGGCAAGAAATAAGGAGTACAGATGAAGCTAGATGTTCTAATCATATAAAAGGACAAATATTATAACTACTATAAAGATGCATGAATAATAATTAAAACAAAATGTGAATCAGTCAGTCTGCAAAATACAGGCTTTTTAAGTTGTTTATTACCATTACACATGTTCACACTCACCATAAAGTGTAAATCTTATGTATTCTTTTGAAGGCTTCCATTGATCTAAAGATGTAATATGAATTTGAGACGAGTTATCGCAGCCCCTATTATATGTGCTCTTTAAATGGGTGATTGTGTAGACTGACTATCATTTCCATTTAAATATTTTCAAAAATAGGGGCTCCAGTCACTGCTTTTCTCCATTGTGGCACTGTGACATAACACAAACTACATAATACAGATTTTGCTTTTATTATAACACCGAAACTAGGCTGAGACTGATTTAGTTCTAACATGCTCACATGTATACCTGATCATATGACATCCCCTTAGGTGTGCCATTCCACAGTTTTAACAGCTGTCTGTGCAGCATAGTCTCAGAGCTCTAAATTCACAGTACAGAAAATAAATGGAAAGTGTGGATAGGGTTTTTACACGTATTACTCAACTATAATAGCGATCATATTAATAAAGCAAGGGGTGGAGTGTAGCAGCTCTACTGGTCGGAACGTTTGATTGATGGGCTCTGTCCTTATACTCATTATACCTACGATTCCTGGCATTCCAGAAAATGAAAAACAAAAAAACGGATAAGCCCCGGTCAGGCAGGCACAGCCCCAAGAATGCCGCCGACCTCAAGGACTTTTCTGACTCCTTGGAGGACCTGACCCTTGAGAGAGGCAACACTGGACTGCCAGCAACTTTGCAGCCACAAACTACACCGCAGAGTGGCGACTCCTCTGCAAAGATGCTGAAGGACATGCTGGATGCCCTCCAAAAGACTATCCAGGCGTTTGTAGCTTTGCTTTGTACAGATCTGACAGACCTTGTGAATCACCTGGGAGCGGTGAAGACCTCTTTAGAAAAGCATGCTCAGTTCATTACAGAGCTTTAACTAGAAGTGCACACTCTTAAGAAACAGCAGGCAATTTCGGAACAACGCTTAGCTATCATGAAAGACATGAGGCACTGCAACAACCTGAAGATCAGGGGCATGTCTGAGGATATCCCCACAGTGGAGCACCCACATTTACTGCGGAGGCTGGTAGAGGCCTTGCTGGTGCCCAAGCAAGTCAGAAACATATTCTTTGGTGGAATCTTCAAGGTTCCAAAACTGCAGTGGCACCCAGGGATATGGTGGCTCGATTTCCTAGCAGTGCAGGTAGCTCTTAATGAGAATGATCCATATTCCTTTAAAAACCATGTCCCTAACCTTCTATTGGGAGATAAAGTACTATAGAGAAGATCTGTACAGCCATTCATGGCTCTACACAGAGCCAAAAGGCCTCCGATACTGGTGGCGATCACCAAAGTCTCTACAGGTCCAGCAGGGAGACACTGCCCACTCGGTATATGATCTGCAGGGAGCAGATGTGCTCCTGAGGACCCTAGGCCTGCCAGAAGGCTATACTGCTGTCTAGGCCCAAAGTAACCAACCCAGTGACACACAGTTGGGACCAAGTGAAGGTTGTACTATTCATACCACATGGGGCCCTACCGGACACTTATGCTGCACCAATTTCTCTCTAATCAGAGTTGTGTAATACAAGCGGTTTGAAGTGTGTTTGCCTTTATTTTCGTAACTTTATACTTTGTCATGTATTTTAGCAATAGGCATATTCTGCCCACATGTGCTCTGGCTAATCGCCAGGTTATCACCTCTCCCTCCTCACTTGTTTTAGTTCAGTTGTAATGTTTAGTGGGACCAGGAAGTGTAAAAACGTACAGGCTATTGCGGAGTGTCACATGTTTTCCCGCACTGCTACACAGTGGGATATTCTCCTGAAGAGCTACTTTCATCGTTATTTTAATTTTCTTTTATCTCCTTTATCTTTTCTATTTACTGGCCTTGGTTTGTTAATGCTCAGACCAATTTGATCATTATAGACCCTTTTGCGGCGGGTGGAGTGGAGATCAGCGCTGGAGGCAACTTTGGGGTTAACAGTTTGAAAGTGTTTTAACCCCTTCATGTAAGAGTGAGTCTGGGGGTCTCCTGGCACCATGAGAACTTAATTTAGATTCAGTTGTTTTGGTTATTCTGGAGTGCCCCTTTAAGGTGATCTTTAATGTTTTGAATAAAAAAAAAAAAAAACAGGTAATATGTTACATAATAATCACTGTATTTTTATTGTGTTTTTGCACTATCAAGTGGTGTTAAATGGTTACTCCAAGTATCACAGCCACTACAGCCCACTGTAGTGCCGAGGGTCCCAGGGCTGCAAAAGCTAAAAAGCTGATCCTTACATTGTCAGCCATACATTGGCTGAGAGCATCAAGAGACCGGTCTCAACCAATGAATGCAAATCTGTACATGGGAATATGCACAGAATCTTGAAAAAAAGGCCTGAATTAGATCAATGTTCTGCACCTAAACACCTTTTAGATATAAAATACACCAACATTCACACACAATGTCCCTAACTACAAATACACCTATCACAAACACTGCCCCTACACACACTCCTGACTTCACAAACACTGCCCCTACACACACTCCTGACTTCACAAACACTGCCCCTACGCACCCTCCTGACTTCACAAACACTGCCCCTACGCACCCTCCTGAATTCACAAACAATGCCCCTACACACACTCCTGAATTCACAAACACTGCCCCTACACACACTCCTGAATTCACAAACACTGCCCCAAGCACACTCCTGAATTCACAAACACTGCCCCTACGCACCCTCCTGAATTCACAAACACTGCCCCTACGCACACTACTGAATTCACAAACAAACTCTTGAATTCACAAACACTGACCCTCTTGCATTTGTAAACAAAGACCCAACATAAATATACCACTGCAGTCACAAACTATAACACTGCATACATATGATGCACACAAATCTGAGGATGAAGGACACAGGTTTGGAAGACCAGGCATCTTATAAAAGGAATAATCCAAAAATGTGTTGAGGTGATTGAGGATGAGAAAATCTACTATGAAGACTACAGTGATAACGGACCATGGACAAGAAGGGACTTGTAAAGGTTGTAGCAGTATGGTGGCTTTTGAATTCTGAGCTTTGAAATGATTAAATATGGAACATCTGACCTAGGTTGTGCAATCTGTGGGAACTGCAAAGAAGTCAAAGTGAATTTTAAAACATTTAGGCCAAAATAGTCAAATTAAAACATTCTCCAAGTCAGTTCTGTTTCCAGTTCAGCTATTTTGCCTTAAATGTTTGATTCTGTTTAAACTCCCAGCAAATCTTACATTACAAGTAAATTACACCGAAATATACTGCGCAAACACACCTCATGTCTAAATGCAAACATGAGCTTAATTAAAACCAAAACTGCAATTGGTGCATTTATGCTAGTGAGTAACTTTCAGGCCTGGCAAGTAGCTCTGGGATTGAGACTTTGAGTATGGATATTTATTTATAGCTCATTGTTTGCAAAATCCAGATCCTTGTTGAAAATTAAAATAAATCTGATTTGGACAACGGCTTCCCTGGTTTAAAATGTTCGTGGTAATTACACGGATCTGTCAGAGCAGATTAAGAGGAGGCTGGGAGGCATTACAACGCTCCTGGCTGTAAAATACTCCTCTGACTCATTCACTGCAAAGGAATCTCAGAACATATTTTCCTTTGGTCGTTTCATGTTCCAGTTTCCAGGAAAAGCAAATGGGCACTGAAAAGATTGTAACAGAGATCGCATTATGCCCATCCATATTCCAGGACAGGCATATTCTGCTATCCAAATGCCAGATACTGGAACCTGTCAGTTGTGTGTGGAGGGGGGTATGAAGGAATCAATGCAAATACATTAAAAGTCCCTGAACCAATTCCTGAGATGAGTCATTAAGAACACAATGTGGACTTTCTCTATTCCATCAACAGACAGCAATGGGACAGATGTATAGGAGTACGTTCATTAAACATTATACCAAATTTGGTCACTCAAACTTAACTCAATTATCTTCAGTTTGGCTAATAAATTCCTCTGAGTTTCATTTTATTAGCCTTCAAGAGAATGGAGACAAGACTGAGATAAACAAGTACCAGCTCATTCCAGCTGTAAATGTGTTTTTGACAGTAGCTCCAGACAAACTGTAACTGAATGCTAGCTGGATGACTGCTAAGGTAAAGTGTGGTTTAAGCAGGGATTTTTGGGTTAGGGAAGGAGTAGGCAATTTTTGGCACCCTAGATGTTGTGGACTACATCTCCCCTGATGCTTTGCCAGCGTTACAACTGTAGTCCAACACGTGGAGTGCCGAAGGTGGCCTTCTCCCAGATATGGGCAATTTTAGAGTGACGCAGTGCTATTTATAAAATTCTCCTGTACTGTTTAATGGAAATTGGGTCAAACAAAAAGGATTAATTTGCAATTATGCTGTTTGTGAATAGACTAATAAGAAAACTTATACAGAGATGTGGCTGATTCGACCAGATAATCAAACCGCAAACTAATGAAAATGCAAAGACAGCTGAAATAATCAATGATTCCATTTGTGAATAGCCATACAGGTTTCTAATATCCACCATTTGTTTGAAACATCTGAAATGTGGACAATGTAACTTCCTGAGGTTAGGGCATGCAATGGCACCATAAGTAACGATCAGGCCCTCCCGGCAGCCAGGATACTTACGCTGGCAATCTCAAATCGGGGGGTGGGGGATGCCTAACAACCATTGGAGGTAAATCTCCGCTTAAGTCTCAAAATGGTTTTTGCTCACTTGTGCCATTACAGTGAGAAAATATTCTCTATTTTGATACCTGATCTGGAATTTATTGAAGGGCAAGCTACTGAGTTTCTCTAAGCTTTTGTCCATTCTCAGAGTTCTTTTATTCTTTGTACTTGTTGCAATGCATTAACTTGGCTCTCCCCAAGTTAAAGGACCACTCTAGGCACCCAGACCACTTCAGCTTAATGAAGTGGTCTGGGTGCCAGGTCCAGCTAGGTTTAACCCATTTTTTCATAAACATAGTTTCAGAGAAACTGCTATGTTTATGAATGGGTTAAGCCTTCCCCTATTTCCTCTAGTGGCTGTCTCATTGACAGCCACTAGAGGCGCTTGCGTGCTTCTCACTGTGATTTTCATGTGACCGGCTGAATGCTTTCCTATGTGACCGGCTGAATGCGCGCGCAGCTCTTCCCGCGCGTGCGCATTCAGCCGACGGGGAGGAGAAGAGGAGGATCGGAGGAGGAGAGCTCCCCGCCCAGCGCTGGAAAAAGGTAAGTTTTAACCCCTCTCCCCTCTCCAGAGCCGGGCGGGAGGGGGTCCCTGAGGGTGGGGGCACTATAGTGGTCCTTTAAAACGGTGACCCCGTGCTAGAGGGATATCAGCTACACCTCACTGACAGGGCCCAAACAAGGCTGAAACGATAGTCTGGGGTTAGTGTATCGCCTGTGCAGAGAGAGCTTGCTAGCATTTTGGTTCTGGAATTCCCATACGGGTGGCTACAGAATATATTTTCTCTGTAATGGCACAAGTGACATGAGCGGAAATTTTATGTATGCAGTGTTATAGTTTGTGACTGCAGTGGTATATTTATAAATGGCAAGCTTTTAAATTTCTCTAAGCTTTTGTCTGTGCTCAGAGTTCTTATATTCTCTGTTTTGTTGAAATGAAAGTCCTGTTTCTCCTGAACAAATTGATATATAATAAGTGTAGATTATGGTTCAATAGAGATACAGCTCAAATTCTAGGTTTTGTTTTGGTTTGGTTTAGAACTAAGACAATTGACTCTGTCCTTAAGGGGTTAATGCCATTAAGAGTATTACTTCCTTAACCCCTTAAGGACACATGACATGTGTGACATGTCATGATTCCCTTTTATTCCAGAAGGTTGGTCCTTAAGGGGTTAAAGAACAGACAACAAATTGTATTAAAAATAGTGAGACCCATTACATACTTCACATAGCATTAGTAAGTCACTTTATTAACATTTCTTGGGGAAAACAAAACATGTCAATAGTGCTTAATGGGATGAATACACTAGAAAAGATCAAAAGAAAGAACACTGGCAGCATTCTGTAAAGGCATATTAATATATGCACTAAATGTCTGTCGAAGTAGGAAAATAGATTTATTCTCAATGTATCCAAAGTGTGATTTAAAAAAGAATAATAATAAAATTGGTAATTTCACACTTGAAAGACTGTTCAAGGGCGAAGACTGAGAGCGTGAAATAGCTAGTCATCAATTCCATTGCAATGCATATTAAAGGACCACTATAGTGCCAGGAAAACATACTTGTTTTCCTGGCACTATAGTGCCCTGAGGGTGCCCCCACCCTCAGGGTCCCCCTCCGCGCCCGGCTCTGGAAGGGGGAAAGGGGTAAAAACGTACCTTTTTCCAGCGCTGGGCGGGGAGCTCTCTGCCTCTTCTCCTCCTCTGATCCGCCCCGTCAGCTGAATGCGCACGCGCAGCAAGAGCTGCGCGCGCATTCAGCCGGTCGCATAGGAAAGCATGCATAATGCTTTCCTATGGACGCTTGCGTGCTCTCACTGTGATTTTCACAGTGAGAAGCACGCAAGCCCATCTAGCGGTTGTCAATGAGACAGCCACTAGAGGATTTGGAGGAAGGCTTAACCCATTGATAAACATAGCAGTTTCTCTGAAACTGCTATGTTTATAAAAAAATGGGTTAACCCTAGAAGGACCTGGCACCCAGACCACTTCATTAAGCTGAAGTGGTCTGGGTGCCTAGAATGGTCCTTTAACAGTATAGCAGCTGGCTTTGTAAATCTACAGACTGCTCTTATTAAAATAAATAAATAAAAAAACAAGAATACATTGTTTAAGTGCACTTTTTTTTTTTTTGCTCAAGGAAAACTCTTCATATACAACAACCAACCGTACTATACCTTCCACTTCTATTCATGCACTAAGGCTCTAACCTACTTTACCTTTAAACAGTATGATGCAGGGGAATTGTAAAAGTGCAAAATTATTAAGGCGTCTTTCTTAAAAGATATTTTGTTTATGACATTAAAGGGACACTATAGTCACCTAAACAACTTTAGCCTAATGAAGCAGTTTTAAAGTATAGATCACTCCCCTGGCTCTGATTGACACAGCCTGCATGAAAAAAAAAAATGGTTTTACTTTCAATCAGATTTAATTTACCTTAAAGGACCACTATAGTGCCAGGAAAACATACTCGTTTTCCTGGCACTATAGTCCCCTGAGGGTGCCCCCACCCTCAGGGTCCCACTCCCGCCGGGCTCTGGAAAGGGGAAAGGGGTAATAACTTACCTTTTTCCAGCGCTGGGCGGAGAGCTCTCCTCCTCCTCTCCGCCCCACCGGCTGAATGCGCATGCATTCAGCCCGTCGCATAGGAAAGCATTTATAATGCTTTCCTATGGACGCTTGCGTGCTCTCACTGTGAAAATCACAGTGAGAAGCACGCAAGCGCCTCTAGTGGCTGTCAATGAGACAGCCACTAGAGGATTAGGGGAAGGCTTAACCCATTTATAAACATAGCAGTTTCTCTGAAACTGCTATGTTTATAAAAAAAATGGGTTAACCCTAGAAGGACCTGGCACCCAGACCACTTCATTAAGCTGAAGTGGTCTGGGTGCCTAGAGTGGTCCTTTAAACAATTGTATCTCTTTCTCTGTAAATTGAACTTTAACTCTAGCAGGGTCTAGCAAGCTTTTAACATAGCAGGGGATAAGAAAATCTAAATTAAACAGAACTTGCAAAAAAGAAAGGATAAACTTTAGATGACTCTTTACAGGAAGTGTTTATGAAGGCTGTGCAAGTCACAGGCAGGGAGGTGTGACTAGGGTTCATAAACCAAGTGATTTAAAGGGACACTATAGTCACCCAGACCACTTCAGCTCAATGAAGTGGTCTGGGTGCCAGGTCCCCCAGGTTTTAACCCATCAGATGTAAACATAGCCGTTTTAGACAAACTGACTGACAGCCGCTAGAGGCGCTTCTGCGATGCTGGATGCAAAATTCGCATCCAGTTTGCAGAACGTCCATAGGAAAGCATTGAGAAATGTTTTTCTATGGACTGTTTGAATGCGCGCGCGCGGCTCTTGCTGCGCATGCGCATTCCGCTCCACTCGGGAGCTGATGTCGGTGGGGAGGAGAGGTCACCAGCGCCGGGGGAGCCCGGTGCTGGATTTTAACCCCTCCAGCCCCACGGGAAGGGGGTCCTAAGGATGATATAATATCAGGAAAACGAGTTTGTTTTCCTTACACTATAGTGATCCTTTAACTCCTAAATGACAGAGAATTGAGCAGTGAGACTGCAGGGGCATGATATATACACCAAAACTGTTTCATTAAGCTAAAGTTGTTTAGGGACTATAGTGTCACTTTAAATTTTAATAATCTGAGCTCAGTCTGCGTTATATCTTCAAATTTTGCAGGGTACAACAATGAAGAGTTTATTATAGGCACACATGTTGGCACAGGGTTATGTGATTAACCAAGTTTAAAGGGACTCTGCAGATATTTCCAGAGAAAAGACATTGCTGAGAAATGACATTGCTGCCTAGTAAAATCTCTAGTGGCAGTTACTCAGATGGCCACTAGAGGTGCTTCCTATTTCTGTGTACAGTGTGAACCATCCACGTTCAGCGTCTCCATGCATTAATTCGATGCATCTCTATAATGAGATGCTGATTGGCGCAACGCTGCATTTTGCCATGCATGCGCTATCGCCTCCCTATGGGAAATCATTGGATTGGCTGAGATCATGAAGATAGATGATCTCAGCTAGACAGGCAGAGTCAGGTGGGGCCAGTTGCAGCGAATACAGCGTGGCATGAGAGAAAAGGTAAGTAAAATCCCCTTTTAATGAGTTTAAGTTTGTATTCCTGACACTAGTGTTCCATTAACTTTGTTGCAATCAAAAGTAGCTCAGATAGATTTAATAGTATAAGCAGTCTAAAATAGTTTCACTACTTGCAATGGAGGGACCAGAGGGAACTCCTGGCACCATAACTACTACATCGCTTTGTAGTGGTGATGGTGCTTGGAGTGTTCTGCCCATTCCAAGAAACATTCCTACATTCCTAAAACAAACTCTTTACAGTTTGAATTTCTCATCATCAAGTACTTTGAAAATGAGCTGAATAACTAACTAATAGCTAACGAATAAATAAAATATGCCTTTGCTGAGATGATCCAGCACAGATGAGGCGCTAGAGCGGAGATACTGTGAAACTCCTTGTTTAAGACAGTGATTACATGAACCATTTTGAGAATACAAAATTCTCTGTAATCCCCTCCCTATCTATGTGTTTTCAAAAGAAACTGCTCTGTGTAGATGAGTCATTAGCACAGGTTGATATTTTACAATGACTAAGCCAATGAGGGGAGTCTGCAATTCTTCACTGCGTAGTATATGCCATAGTGCCAGGAATACATCTTTGTATTCCTGACACTATAGCATCCCTTAAAAAAAAAAAAAAAAAAAAAAAGCTAATTGTTATAATATAAGAATATAATGAAGGAATGTTCTGCAGTTAAAGTGCATTTTACCCATCTCTCCTTGAGCAGTGAAATAAGAAAGGAATTTAAAATTCTAGTCAGGGCAGATTACATTCCATGTTCACAAAACATCTAAATAAAGAGTATATTTTTCAAACCAGTTTTCATGGCCTATTAACAATGCAGGATTGATGTACTTCCCATTTCTATTTCAATCCAGATGCTGGGTCATGAAGACTGGTTTGGAAACCAGAGGTCCAGAGGGTGGTCCAGAAAAGGACTGTTGGCATCATGTACCAAGTAGTAACAGCTGGTGAAGTTTAAAGATGGTGGGGAGCTGCCCCTTCCATACGATGCCATGCCCTGTCCAAAATCAGCATCTACAGTCATCAATAAAGGAGAGAATGGAAACTGTAGATATAATCATAATGGTATATATCTATTTTTTTGGGTGGGGTGGTGAGAGACCTCACCTGACCCTATGGACAAGCTTTTATTGGTACCTAAACAGGCATCACCTTTTCCTCAATATGCAGACCAACGAGAGGCAGAAATGCCAATTTGCCACTGCTTTATCCTTCGGACAGAGTGTAAAGTACCTGGGATTTTGCCTCTGGAATGTCCTGATGGTGAGACAAGTCATATATGCTCGTAGTATAGGTAAAACTTCTAGGAGACCTCCTGTACACAAACTACCCATAAGACAATAGGGGCGTCGCAAGATATTTTCCTTGTATTATAATCATAGCACCGGGAACCGTGCCTCCCTCGCCCCCTGCCAGCTCTGCAGGACTGTAATGCTGGCAGCCTGCATGGGAGAAAGGACCCAGGGGAGCTCTAACTTGCAGCTCCGCCAGCTTCTCCTCTCGCAAGCTTGGAGTGTTGCCGTAGTTACCACGGCAACGCTCCGAATCTCGCAAGAGTGAACTCTAACAGCTCCTGAGGCTGCTAAGTTCACTCTCACCATTTGGATCACCAGGGCTTCTCCACCGGACCACCAGGGATTAGTACTGTCCCCACTCCCAGGCAAAGGTAAGTAGGGAGGGGCAATATTAAAATAATATTTTTTTTATATTAAAAATAAAAGTATATATTTATGTGCCCTCCTACCCCCACAGACCCACAATTACCCCCCCATACACACAAACAGTACCCATCACACACACACAACACACACTGTACCCGTCATACAACATGCCCCCACACACACACTAACACACAAACTGCATCCTTCACAAACACAATGCACCCTCGTACACAAACTGCCTCACATACACACACATACTCACTGCACACCGCGCGCGCACACACACAGACACACACACACATTGCACCCCTCAGACACACACCAGATCCCAGGTAAGTTGTTAAACTGTTCTTAAACAGTTTGACTACTTACTCTGGGAGGGCACTACTGGCACCAGAACCACTACAAAGTGCTGTAGTGGGTATTGTGCCTGGATTGTTTCTTTAAATAATCTACCAGTGCCCCTCCAGAGATTAGGTTCTGGATCTGCGCTTGAACGGCAAGCATTTCTGCCAAACAGGGGCCCAGCATATGCCACTGCGCTGTACATATATACAACCTAGGAAACTATTTTGGCTCCTTGGAAAAATATTGAAGTTAGGGATCGACCGATTATTGGTCTGGCCGATATTTGGTATTTTCAGCATTATGGGTATCTGTCTATAGAGATACAGATATTGCCGATAATGCAGACCAGGACCACCGGGCCCATGACAAGCCTGGCGGTCCTGGAGGGCCCGCAGCAAGCTCTTACTTACCTGGGTGACTATAGTGTCCCTTTAATAAAGCACTTTTTGTATATAGATCATGCTTCTGAAGTTTCATTGTTCAATTCACTGCCATTTAGGAGTTAAATCACTTTTGTTTCTGTTTATGCAACCCTAGCCACCCCTCCCCTGGCTGTGACTGACACAGCCTGCATGAAAGGAAAATGGTTTCATTTTCAATCAGATGTAACTTACTTTAAAAGGTTTTTATCTCCTGCTCTGTAAATTAAACTTTAATTACATACAGGAGGCTCCTGCAGGGTCTAGCAAGCTAAGAGAGCAGGAGATTAGAAATTCTACATTGAACAGCATTTGCAATAAAGGAAGTATAAACATTAGATGACTCTTTGCAGGAAGTGTTTAGGAAGTCTGTGTAAGTCACATGCATAGAGGTGTGACTATGGCTGCATAAACAATGGGATTTAACCCCTACGTGGAAGAGAATTGAGCAGTGAAAGTGCGGTGGCCATAAACCAAAACTACTTAATTAAGCGAAAGTTGTTTTGGTGAGTATAGTGTCCCTTTAATGTAGTTGTTCTGGTGAGAATACCATGCCCCTGCATGCCTTTCGCTCTAAACACTGCCTTTTATCTATCTATAAAAAGGTAACTTATCTGTATTATTCTATTGGGTGAGGATATGAGGGGGGTCTGCACCTACACAGTTAAATGAACACTCCAAACATTAAAACCCAAATATCAGAGTTTATTCTTATATTTAAAAACAAAACAATATATTGAATAAAAATACCATTTCCAGCATTACTAGCTGTAACCCAGCCTACACATTCCACCTAACACATGTGTATTCCTTGAGTGCCTCTTCAAGTTATCCTTATGTACCCACTAGGTTTCCTGCATTCCTTTTTGGTTTCTGATCCCCTAGCAGCCCCCAGTATAAAGCAATGCTGTCTTGACGCTGAGTGAGCAACAAGGGACATGTTGTTTGGTAACAATAGGGGTGAAAAGATTAGCCACAGCACACCTCTAGACAAAAGCCTAGTACGTCTAAACAGGGAATTCCAGCTTAACATTTGTACCTACAATGGCAATATCACGTTGAACCAACTCTGTCCTTACTTCAATGTCTCAAGTTATTTTAATTGGAATTAAAGGAATACTCCAGCACTACAAATAAATGTTTTCAATAGATGAGTGTTGCCTACGTTATTTGATCTATTAATCCCCTGTTCCCCTTAGAACAGAGGTAGGCAACATTCAGCACTCCAGATGTTGTGAACTACATCTCCTCTGATGCTTTACCAGCATTATAGAAGATGTAGTCTACAACATCTGGAGTGCCAGAAGTTGATTATTGCTGCCCAAAAATAAAGAGGTTACCTAAATGCAATTCCTTGCTACAGCTACACTCTGGTACCAGTAGATCATTACTAGTGATAATATCCCAGTCATTCCATTGCTTCTCATAAAGGGCTCTACACCGGCGATGCTTCTCACAGAGAAGCATTGAATCCAATGTTTTTCTTTGATGAGTCTCACGTGCACTTTAAGTGAGCGTTAAAAGCAAGCTAATAAAAGCACTCTCCTGTCTGTCTGACTGACAGCTGGGAGAGAGACTACAAATTGCTCTTGAAATTGGCACTTTTGCAGTACATATAAGGGTTTGTTTGTTTACATATATGTTTACATAGCAGGGTTAATCCAACCTTTAGTGGCTGTCTTCCTGACAGCCGCTAGAGGCGCTTCTGCGACGCTCAATGCGAAATTGGCATCCAGCGTGCAGAGCATCCATAGGAAAGCATTGAGAAATGCTTTCCTATAGACAGTTTAAATGGGAGCGCGGCACTTGACGCGCATGCGTATTCCGCTCCACTTAGGAGCTGACATCGGAGTGGGAGGAGAGGTCACCAGCGCCGAGGGAGCACTACGCTGGATTAAAGTAAGTAACCCTTCTGCACGACCGGGAGGGGTCCCCTGAGGGTGAGGGTCCCCCAAGGATTATATAGTGTCAGGAAAACGGGTTTGTTTCCTTAACACTACAGGGAGTGCAGAATTATTAGGCAAATGAGTATTTTGACCACATCATCCTCTTTATGCATGTTGTCTTACTCCAAGCTGTATAGGCTCGAAAGCCTACTACCAATTAAGCATATTAGGTGATGTGCATCTCTGTAATGAGAAGGGGTGTGGTCTAATGACATCAACACCCTATATCAGGTGTGCATAATTATTAGGCAACTTCCTTTCCTTTGGCAAAATGGGTCAAAAGAAGGACTTGACAGGCTCAGAAAAGTCAAAAATAGTGAGATATCTTGCAGAGGGATGCAGCACTCTTAAAATTGCAAAGCTTCTGAAGCGTGATCATCGAACAATCAAGCGTTTCATTCAAAATAGTCAACAGGGTCGCAAGAAGCGTGTGGAAAAACCAAGGCGCAAAATAACTGCCCATGAACTGAGAAAAGTCAAGCGTGCAGCTGCCACGATGCCACTTGCCACCAGTTTGGCCATATTGCAGAGCTGCAACATCACTGGAGTGCCCAAAAGCACAAGGTGTGCAATACTCAGAGACATGGCCAAGGTAAGAAAGGCTGAAAGACGACCACCACTGAACAAGACACACAAGCTGAAACGTCAAGACTGGGCCAAGAAATATCTCAAGACTGATTTTTCTAAGGTTTTATGGACTGATGAAATGAGAGTGAGTCTTGATGGGCCAGATGGATGGGCCCGTGGCTGGATTGGTAAAGGGCAGAGAGCTCCAGTCCGACTCAGACGCCAGCAAGGTGGAGGTGGAGTACTGGTTTGGGCTGGTATCATCAAAGATGAGCTTGTGGGGCCTTTTCGGGTTGAGGATGGAGTCAAGCTCAACTCCCAGTCCTACTGCCAGTTCCTGGAAGACACCTTCTTCAAGCAGTGGTACAGGAAGAAGTCTGCATCCTTCAAGAAAAACATGATTTTCATGCAGGACAATGCTCCATCACACGCGTCCAAGTACTCCACAGCGTGGCTGGCAAGAAAGGGTATAAAAGAAGAAAATCTAATGACATGGCCTCCTTGTTCACCTGATCTGAACCCCATTGAGAACCTGTGGTCCATCATCAAATGTGAGATTTACAAGGAGGGAAAACAGTACACCTCTCTGAACAGTGTCTGGGAGGCTGTGGTTGCTGCTGCACGCAATGTTGATGGTGAACAGATCAAAACACTGACAGAATCCATGGATGGCAGGCTTTTGAGTGTCCTTGCAAAGAAAGGTGGCTATATTGGTCACTGATTTGTTTTTGTTTTGTTTTTGAATGTCAGAAATGTATATTTGTGAATGTTGAGATGTTATATTGGTTTCACTGGTAATAATAAATAATTGAAATGGGTATATATTTGTTTTTTGTTAAGTTGCCTAATAATTATGCACAGTAATAGTCACCTGCACACACAGATATCCCCCTAACATAGCTATAACTAAAAACAAACTAAAAACTACTTCCAAAAATATTCAGCTTTGATATTAATGAGTTTTTTGGGTTCATTGAGAACATGGTTGTTGTTCAATAATAAAATTAATCCTCAAAAATACAACTTGCCTAATAATTCTGCACTCCCTGTATAGTGATCCTTAAAATTCTCACTTTCGAGAATAACCCTGCATACTCCAAAAAAAAGCTTTTAAAAATAATTTTGCCTTTCCCTGTAGAATAAAAAAAAAAAAATAACTCAAGTAAAGAAAAACAATAGTTTTTCACCAGGAAATATACTACTAGAGACATTCAACAAATTATTTAAATGTCAGGAATGGAAACTGCACCTCAGCAGTGGAAATGCTTATTCCCAAAAATATTGTGGAATTTATTGCTTGGTGAGGTCATGTGGTGATTTAGTAAACTTGGGAAAAAAAAATGTTTTTCCAGCACAACACTGAAAATAGTCAGGGTTATTCAATAAACTGGGGATGTATCTGAGACTTGTACATTTAATCCTAAAGTAAACATTTTTCAATTAGGCTATTTGTATTTAAAATTTGCCGTTCCTCCAGTTTGAAATTTAGTGAATAACCCTATAGGAATCGAAAACTGAAAAGCAAACTTTAGCTTGTCTAAAGGACTAAAGTGCTAGCCTAATCTACTTGCCCGGACACAAAATGTCAGTCACAAAGATCAGGGCCCATGCCCAGGGCTATTTGCTAAAGTGTGCATTTTTAACAAATTAAATCTAAATAGAAAAATTGAAGCAATAATAACTGATCTGGAAACATTCGCTAACTTTGTTAACATAGGTATTTTAGCTTCAGGTTTTCCATATGGATTTATTGTGCAAAAATCTGTGATGTCTCCCCTTTGTCATGGCGTGTGTTGTGTTTGCTGGCTGCATGTAATGTGTGTGATGCGTTTGTGTGTGTGATATGTGCTGACTGTATGTAATATGTATGTGTGGTGTGTGCTGACAATATGTAATATGTATGTGTGGTGTGTGCTGCTGACTGTATGTAATATGTATGTGTGGTGTGTGTGTTGGCTTTATTCTTAAAGTAATGAGATTCAGGTTTTTATATCCCGCAATTTGAGTGTATTATACGTAAATATTGATATATGTGTATTTGTATAATACTATAAAAAAATTAAAGTATGATTTTTTTTTTCATCAAAAATTATCCAAAGATCTTTTTTGACACACATAGAACACACAATTACTGACCCACACACAGTCATTCTGATAAACATACTGACAGACATACCCACAAACACACACTCTGACTCATTTACACACAAACTACATCTGAACACTGTACTGTACAGAACCATTGCAACTTTCACATTACCAGCAGGTTCCATAATTCCAGACACAGTCTGCAGCCAGACCCTTTCACTTCTCTTTCCTCCATGCAGAGTGTCCAGCCACTGGGACAGGACTGAGCTACAATCAGACTATGGCGATTTTAGACTAAATGTATGCGATTTATCTTAAAGTCACCAAAATTCACTGTTTGTGAAGGAAAGCGCTATTGTATGTTAGAGCAATAATCTTGAAAACACCAGAGGAATACTGAATAAAACTGCAAATTAAAGAAATGCGTTGTAATGGTTATTGGTGCCAGGAGTTGGCCCAGCTGTTCATGGCTTAGTGCAATGGCAGAGAGAGATCAGCGGATTCTCTCTGCCAATGAGCTATCCTTGCACTGCAGGTGATGCAAAGGAAGAACCTAAGCAGGAGCTTCAGGCTTTCCTGTAGCGGAGGCGGGAAGGGTGGTCTTACAATCCCCAATTAAGAAGTCAGACCATTTTAAAGAGGTGTGATTCCTTGCAATGAGGGTGGGCGCCAAGGTACTCCTGGCACCATAACCACTACAGCACGGCAGTGGTTATGGTGCCTGTAGTGTTGCAAATAATTCTGTTATGTTTACCCTTCTTCTTGATTAAAGGAACACTGCAAGCACTATAACCACTATACCTCTCAGTATTGGTTTTAAATCCAGGAGTGACTTGGTGCCCTCCAAAATCTGAATTGCACATTCTCTGCCTGAACTAAGCTTTTTGGTGCAGGGCTTTGCTCATTGGCTGAGAGCTATCAGCTGACACTCTCAGCCAACAAATAAGTTAACTACTGCAGGGCTTAGCTCAGAACTGGTAACAGAGCTCCTGCTTAGGAGATTTCTGCTCTGTCAGAAGTAGTGGAAGTGGGGAGCAGCCCCCATGTATGAAGTCAAACCATTCTAAAACAGTTTGACTACTTACAGCGAGGGGCGACAGAACAAACCTGGCACAATAATCACTACAGTGTGCTAGTGGGTAGTTGATATTGTGCTTGGAGTCTTCCATTAGCAATCGAAGGAGTATTTGGGAAATATAAAGCAAATAGATAATGGATATAAATCAAACAGTATGGCGTTTATCCCCTGAATAGTGATTTGCAGGACGCAAGTTGAACATGTTAGGCCAAAATGTTACAGTTGGATAAAATGTACCAACAGGCTAAGCTATTTTGGTTACATGTTTCCCAGTGAATCCAAAAGTGACTGCAAACAATTCTGGAATTCAGATTAAAAGGGGCATCAACCTATAATTATATCAAAAGCAAACCAATAAAAATATATAGCTGATACTATACAATCAGTACAACATCCATTTTCTTTAGGGTGAGAAGAATAAGAGGTTGACAAAAGTGGCCTATATCAGATGTGGCCAAATCGACCAGTAGTGGACAGAGCAGTATAACCAAAGTGTTTCCATAGCAACTGGCTCCAAGGAATAAACCAGTCATTACCCTCTATAAAAACTGCACTGTTCAGTTTAGATGCTTAGTTAAAGAGCATCTCAGGATTCCTTACTTTATGACATGTGGATTCCCAGGAGTATCATGTTTTCATTAAATACAGTAACGCTGTATCGTATCCTACACACACAACCGAAAGGATAAACTTGTATAAATACTGTACATCATTTACTCAGAGGAATGGGAATATTGTAAATTATGTTGCCTGTTAATTATATAGATATGTCAACCTTACAGCGGTTGATATCTCACAATGTAATATATATATACACACACACACACACACATACATATACACACACACACAAAATCTCTGGTGGGAATATGGAGAAAACAACAATTACAGGGCAAAGTACTAAAAGTGAAGATATCACCATAGAAACCACTGTAATTTTCTTGGTGATTGTTCCACTGTGCAGGTTGTTCTATATCCATAACACTGATTGAACATTAAAATGATGTTAAAAAAAACATCAGTTAAGGTGAACACACATACAGATAAACAAGATTCGATTTGATAGTTTTTATTTCAAGGAAATACCACCAATGTGGAGCTTGGGTGCTCCTATTTGATAGTTTAACCTTTGAAATAATGAGATCAATGATTCATAACACACACACAGACAAGATAGATGGGTATTAAATACAGAATGCCACCAGTCCCTTGTAACACCAAATAAGCTGTGACAGCTACCAGACCCCACAATTTGTGTGTAAAAGCCCTGATTTGCAAATTATACCTGAACATGATGATTGGTGCAATGCAGATCAGTTCAGGGGGACATCCCTCTCAATGTAAGCAGACACAGAGCACAGAGCTATTGAAAGATTAATTTTAAAAAATGAAATAAATGTGCATCACCTGACTCGTGCTGGTTTTGTTCTAAGTCAGTGTCTCCAGTCTTATATAGAATAATGAACAAAATTATCTTACCTGCCCCAAAAGCCTTGGCAACCAACCAGGCCAGATTACTAGCCACCTTGGCCCTGTTGAAGTCATAGTGATCAAAAGGTTTTATGGCTGGAACAATAAAGGTTTTCTTCACCTCCTGGCCGCCAGCTGCTAAATCCACCATGGTTGGAAAAGGTTGATCCTTCGATTTACATGATTTACAGCACAAACCCAAACCTAGTCAATTGTTCATCTTGCCAGAGGATCGAATCAACCAACTTAAGGAGAGAAGGGGCACGTTATCACATCAACACCAGCAGATGTATACAGCTTATCTTTTGACTAACTTGAATCTCTGCAATTGTTGATTACAGTTATTTTACCACACCAAACAAGCAAGTGGTCACTTTAGACAGCAAAAAAGTAGCAGTTCTGATAAAAAATATATAATCTGCAGACAAGCAGATCTTAATGCTCATTCAAAACATATACTATAAATTATGAATTAAAAATTAAAATAAAAGTTACTCCTGGGTAATCCACAGCCGATACTTAAATAACACCTTAATACATTTCTGTGCTTCAAACACCTATCTTGACTGAATGTGATCCCAACAAGTCCAGCTCTAATGTCCATTCAGATTGGTGTTTTTTGCAATATGATAACCATTCATCGGAGGTCATGACAGAAAATGAAGGAGATAATGTTTAAAAATAAATAAAATAGTCACAATTGTAGTTTTGTTGGTGTTTTTTTTTGGAAACCTGGAAGTTTAAATGCTAGTGTTGCAATAAATAATAATATCCTTGGTGTGCAACCTTGTAGAGGCTGGAAATAAAATCTTTCCAATTGTAGGCCTTCAATTTTATAAAAGCATGCAGTGATCCCTCAGTGACCTTTCACGTGTACATACATTGCAAACCAAATACTTAAAATAGCACTGTGTACATTGGTGGCAAGATATAATACTGGAATTGGTTTGTCTACAAGGTAACAGCAGTAGATCTATTCATCCACTGGTGACCCAAAGTAGTAGGCTGGAAGCTGAGGCTATGGCTTGATAAAGAAGACAGAATGATATCCATCCAGTGGGGAGCCAGAGATCCTTCAGTAATGACAGCAGTAGTTCCTTCGTGGAATTTCCAGAATTCCATACGACTGAGGAAGGATGTGATCCCGTTAGAATAGAAAAGGGCTGCTATGTTAATCCTTAAACAGAAGGATTTACATGTACTGAGCTTCCCATAGGAGATCTTGGATTTATCACCCCCCAGGATTCAGTGACTAATAGCAATGATGATCCAATACTGCTGGTCCTCACCCAATAAAGGATCCTATTCAGCCTTCCCAGTACAGCAGTGACAGCAGCAGCAAGGAGTCCTCCGGTGGCCTGATATGTAAGAATAGGATGGGCTACTCTGGCTTCTCCAGTGACCCCAGATGCGCTGGATCCGATAATGCCCTGCATAGGATTTAAGGAAGATAATGTGATGATGGTAGTAGGGATATTTTTTTCTTTCTAAATCCAGGCCATTGAAAGCGGTGTGAGGATTGCTTCTGTCTTCATTATCTGGAGAGCTGTCCCTCCTCTAACACATTCTATCCCTTTCTGGCTTTTTTTTTTTTCACCCCTCCCTCCCCGCTTCCTCTGCTCCCCGCCCGCTGTCGCTGCGGGTTTTCCTGCCGCACTAGATGGGAAGCAGCCGTGGATACTGCGCCTGCCCAGTCTGCAGGAAGCGCGGATTGAGCGCAGACGCAGTGAGCGCGGAGAGACCGCGTCTTCTGCTCATGCGCCATATAAAATAATAATAATAATAATGAGCGCGGCGGCTGCGCATGTGCAGCATAAAGCGCTGCTATAGCGTTGGTCGCCTTTCGAGTGCGGCTAATCGCAGCTCCGTGGCATTTTGGCCCTGGATTATGGCATGGCTAGATTAGCGCATTTTGGCTGTAGGATTATCTAAAGGTTCTGTATGAATGAAAAGCTGAATTACAAATTGGAGACAACAATAATCTGTCTACAATCTGGAAAGAATCTCCGCCTCTGGTGTAAACACAGCTTGGCTATTTAGCCTAAATTTTCCAATTCCAATCAAACCCTTAAAGGCACACTCAACAGCCCTCTAAAAAGTATATACCCCCATTGAAACCATGCATGCATGCATTGTGGTATATCTAAAACCAGCTTGCAAAAGCTGTTGATCTTTTGTCTGCAGCCTTTGTTTGTCCTATCTCACTTCCCCAATCCAGTCTGTGATTGGATAGCCACAGAAAGTCTGCTTGCAAAGGCTTCAGACAAGAGAAATAAATTCACGCATGTTTTCATTGGGGTTATAGCTATAATGGAATGTCCCTTTAATCAATGGATGTGTGTAGCTGATACTGGGAATTGTTGCCCATCAGAGGTGTTGGTGTAGAATCTATACCAATACTAACACAGCATTTGCCTTGGGCGGGTACTTTATAGGGGGGAGGTGGGGGGAGTATCGCAAAAAATGCCTGCTCGGACATTCCCAAAACTTTCACCAGGCACCATGTTCTGCCTGTCATGAGGGCCCAAGACCTGGCCTGCTGGCAACTTTAGCCTCCCCTACCCCTCAACAGACACAAAAAGGCCTCTGTCTCCCCCAACACACAGTCCCTATTACCCCAAAATGCACACTAATGCCTCAATCCTTGCACACATACACGACAGACCCGGCCCACTCATGCATTCTCTACAATTCCAATTCCCCACTCACACTCTACAGCCCCATTTTTCCCTGTACAGCTTCTATATGCAACAAACACACAAAAATGCGGTATCCTCCCAAATAAACACACTACAACTCACCCAATCGCATACCACAATCTTTTGCATGTATGTATGTGTACTAGTACACAGGGAAATTGGTCTTGTTCACAATGGGTTAAAAGGTAAAAAATATCAACAACTGAGACACTCTCTGTCATCACTTTCCTCTCTCACACATTGGATGCACCAATTCCCATATTTGAAATCCTTTGTACTCAATCCATGCCTCCTGTACACTTCATTACAGTTTTATACAATGCACTGATAGTGCTTCCAGCCTAGAGGACAAACACATTTTATACATCCCTAAACATTTATACTACTCCCAGAGTACCGTCATTATGGAAGGGGACTGGGCATCCTATTCCACACATTGTGGTCCTTATTCAATCATACTGATATGTGGTACATAAAGATGTCAATCAGCTTACTTATTCAACAATGTTCCTTTCACCAGTTATTTTCCACCTACACCTCCAAAAAAAGAGTCCCTTAAATCTCTTGCACCTCCCAAAATAACCCCTCAAAACCCCAATTAATTGCTTTCAACCCATCGCAAGGTCAAAGGAAATCAAGTGTCTTTTTCCAGAAAGTCTCTTCCAATCTGCTGTAGATACATGCAATAGAGAGGAAGGTACAAAATTATAAACGCAACACTTTTGTTTTTGCCCCCATTTTTCACGAGCTGAACTGTGAGGTGGATGGATTATCTTGGCAAAGGAGAAGTTCTCACTAACACAGATTTAGACAGATTTGTGAACAATATTTGGGAGAAATAGGCCTTTTGTGTACATAGAAAAAGTCTTAGATCTTTGAGTTCAGCTCATGAAAAATGGGGGCAAAAACAAAAGTGTTGTGTTCATAATTTTGTTCAGTGTATATAACTTAAATGACCACTCTAGGCACCCAGACCACTTCAGCTTAATGAAGTGGTCTGGGTGCCAGGTCCCTCTAGGGTTAACCCATTTTTTTTATAAACATAGCAGTTGTTTATATAGTGTTCCTGGCACTATAGTGGTCCTTTAACAGTGAAACCAAGCAGTTACAATTTAACAGTACTCTATTAGGCTATTTTTAAAAATCTGCTCTTGTCGAGAGATTAAAACCCACTATTCATATTAACAGAAAGCACTCCCTGCACTCTATGATGGGATACTGTTGTTGCCTGTTACACTTCTTTGCACCTGTGAGAGTTAACCAAGTTTGCCCAGCGTATTTCAGTCTGTTGGAACTTGGACCCCACACCATAGGCGTGCGCACGGGGTGTGCCGGGTGTGCCTGGGCACACCCTAATCCCCGCGGCACGCCTATGTGTGGCTGAGGACCGCAGGAGATCCTTATCTCCCCTTGTTACCATGTGCAGAGTCGGCGCTGTCCCAGCCACTGCCTCAAGCCTCAGCCTCCCTCCCACTGACCCACACGCAGGAGGGAGGCAGGAGAGGACCATGGAGTTTTGCCGAGTCTCACTGAAACTCTCTCATGAGATATGAGGCCACACGGCAATGTTCAAGTTCACGAGAAAGTGAACTCCCTCAGGCACCACAGGGGGCTGAGTCCACTCCACTGGACCACCAGGATCACAGCAGTAAGGATCCCTCCTCCACTGGACCACCAGGGAAGGAAGTGCTAGTAATGATCCCTCCTGCCAAAGGCTGCTAGCGAGGGGAGCAGCAAATAATGTACCCTACCTCCACCCCCACAATCACCCACCCACACACACATACAACACACACATTCAGCACCCACACACATTCAGCACCCACAGACATACACAGCACCCACACACATTCAGCACCCACAGACATACAGCACCCACACACATACACAGCACCCACACACATACAGCACCCACACACATACAGCACCCACAGACATACACAGCACCCACACACAGACAGCACCCACATACATTCAGCACCCACATACATTCAGCACCCACAGACATACAGCACCCACACACATACAGCACCCACAGACATACACAGCACCCACAGACATACACAGCACCCACACACATTCAGCACCCACAGACATACAGAACCCACAGACATACAGAACCCACAGACATACAGCACCCATAGACATACACAGCACCCACAGGCATACAGCACCCACACACATACAGCACCCACACACATACAGCACCCACAGACATCCAAAGACCCACAGACATACACAGCACCCACAGACACACAGCACCCACACACAGCACCCACAGACATACAGCACCCAATATATCATACAGCAACCCATACACAGCACCCATAGACATCCAGCACCCACAGACATACACAGTAACTCCACACACACATACAGCACCCACAGACACACACAGCACCCACACACATTCAGCACCCACACATTCTGCACCCACAGACATACAGCACCCACAAACACACACAGCACCCACAGACACACAGCACGCACCCATACACAGCACCCACAGACACATACACAGCACCCACACACATACAGCACCCACAGACACACACAGCACTCACAGACATACACAGCACCCACACACATACAGCACCCACAGACATACACAGCACCAACACACATACAGCACCCACACACATACAGCACCATCATAAACACACACAGCACACAAACAGCACCCTCACACACACACAGCACACCAACAGTACCCTCACAAACACAAACAGCACCCTCACACAGACACCAGGACCCTAATAAACACACACACAGCACACTACCAGTACCCTCACACACAAACAGCACCCTCACACACAGTACATTAACAGCACCCTCACAAGCGCACACACACACACAAACAGCACCCTCACACACAGTACATTAACAGCATCCTCACAAGCACGCACACACAAACACCCTCACCCACATAGCACACTACCAGCATCGTCACACACACATCACACTAACAGCACCCTCACATGTGTGTATATATGTGTGTATACAGGGAGTGCAGAATTATTAGGCAAATGAGTATTTTGACCACATCATCCTCTTTATGCATGTTGCCTTACTCCAAGCTGTATAGGCTCGAAAGCCTACTACCAATTAAGCATATTAGGTGATGTGCATCTCTGTAATGAGAAGGGGTGTGGTCTAATGACATCAACACCCTATATCAGGTGTGCATAATTATTAGGCAACTTCCTTTCCTTTGGCAAAATGGGTCAAAAGAAGGACTTGACAGGCTCAGAAAAGTCAAAAATAGTGAGATATCTTGCAGAGGGATGCAGCACTCTTAAAATTGCAAAGCTTCTGAAGCGTGATCATCGAACAATCAAGCGTTTCATTCAAAATAGTCAACAGGGTCGCAAGAAGCGTGTGGAAAAACCAAGGCGCAAAATAACTGCCCATGAACTGAGAAAAGTCAAGCGTGCAGCTGCCACGATGCCACTTGCCACCAGTTTGGCCATATTTCAGAGCTGCAACATCACTGGAGTGCCCAAAAGCACAAGGTGTGCAATACTCAGAGACATGGCCAAGGTAAGAAAGGCTGAAAGACGACCACCACTGAACAAGACACACAAGCTGAAACGTCAAGACTGGGCCAAGAAATATCTCAGACTGATTTTTCTAAGGTTTTATGGACTGATGAAATGAGAGTGAGTCTTGATGGGCCAGATGGATGGGCCCGTGGCTGGATTGGTAAAGGGCAGAGAGCTCCAGTCCGACTCAGACGCCAGCAAGGTGGAGGTGGAGTACTGGTTTGGGCTGGTATCATCAAAGATGAGCTTGTGGGGCCTTTTCGGGTTGAGGATGGAGTCAAGCTCAACTCCCAGTCCTACTGCCAGTTCCTGGAAGACACCTTCTTCAAGCAGTGGTACAGGA